CAACTTGGAGGTTCTCTCGAGGCAATCAATGCGGGCACTACCACTGTCGTTGATCATTCACACGTCAATGTCTTTGCCGGAGCTGGTAAGTCAATAGTCCCCGAGCTTGCAAGCATAAGCTGATAATTTTAATCTCTAGCCTCCGCTGCCATCTCTGCAACTGCTTCCTCTGGCTTACGCTGCGTCTATGGCTACTGTCCAACTGCTCGTGTCGCAACATGGTCACCTTTTGCAATGAACCCTGATATGCTTGCACCATGGGTCATGGACGAGATCCAGGAGCTAGGCAAGAAGGCTCCCTTTGGCGACGGGCGCGTTACTATGGGCCTGGCTTTTGATCTCTGGTTTCTACCAGAACAAGTCGTCAAAGACCTATTCGACCGTGCCCGTGAAGTTGGTGTCGAGTTGGCGACAACTCATGCTGTTAGTAACCCACAGATGGGATCTTATGATCTCGTTCAGCAGATCAAGAGCCTCGGCTTATTAGACAGCCGTATGCTCTTCAGCCATCTCAATGGATATGCCGCCGAGAGCGTCAAGGACCTTGCTGATGCTGGAGCACATATTAGCAGCACTCCCTCCACTGAAATGCAAATGGCCCTCGGAGATCCCGTGTGCTTGAATGATGACCTTCCCCAGGCTCAAGCCCAGTCTAGTCTAGGCATCGACTGTCACAGTAACCAGGCCTCGAGCATAGTATACGAGATGAGATTGGGCTTGCAGGGCTCGAGGGCCAAGCATAACCAGAAATTGATCGACCAAGATCTAGCCCCTCGCAAGATCTCCAAGACCGTACAGGATGTATTCAATCTGGGGACGATTCAGGGTGCCAGGGCGATTGGAAGGGGGACTCAGCTTGGCAGCATTGCTGAGGGCAAACTAGCCGACTTGGTGATTTTTGACGCCAACACTCCCGAACTAATCTGTGCTGCTGAGCAAGACCCCATCGCAGCCGTTGTCTTGCACAGCAGTATCGGAAACGTCGACACAGTCATCGTCGATGGAATTGTTCGAAAGTGTCAAGGCAAGCTTGTTGGTGTGACCGTGGAGGAGAGCATGGTGGATGTTACCGATAAGCGCTCTCTGGAGTGGGCGGATGTTGCCAAAGCGATGAGAAAGTCTCGCGCTGAAATTCTCCAACGCGAAGCAGAGAAGCAGAACTTGGATGATGTTAAGAAGGGAGTGATCAGCAGCTTCAATATTGACTTGTCAAAGCTGAGGGGTTGAATGATCAGACCATCCAGACATGTAGAACACCATTACATACAGTAATTTAAGAAGTATCAAGACATTATTCGATCATAAATGGAGCGCAGGAAATAAAAGTATCGAAATATGAACTATATCTGGTGTACAAAGTCGAAGTGGGAACCATTGCGGCTCCGAAGTCTTAATGTCCGCGTTACAGTTCGCCCTGTTAGTCAAGATCCCTTAGTGCGATCTTCGATGACGGTTCATGTACGACCCTCACGATATCCGAGATTGCATCTTAATCCACCGAAAGAAGTGTCTTACGAGGGGAACCCGCTCCGTCGTATATCGGTGTTACCAGAGTGCTGGTTCTCTCCCGACGGCGCCGGAACCGAGCGGCTCCGGCCATAGTTCCGCCGGTCGCAAATGCCTCTCATGAATACCGAACCGACTACAGTAACCAGGAAATTTCTCTCGGTGGATTAATTCAGGGCTGAAAATTCAGTATATCTCAGGTCACAGGTGCCTCAGCTTTGGTGCATCTTGAGAAGCCTGATATTTGGCAATGCCTGCCAGTAGAAACTAGAAAGGCTCTGACAAGGGGGACAACAAGGGCCGGGAATAGCACATGCTTAGCTCGTTCAACATCAATTAATCAATGAAAGTTTCTAGGAAAAAAGCTTTTAGTAAAATCCGTCTTAGTATCAGAGGGTTTCTTATAGTGAGATACTGCTGAGGAATATTGCGGGTTTCTCCAGACTTCATTCTGGGGTAACTTTGCTTTTTCTGAGTAATCACAAACTCTCTCCACGATGTGATAACGCAGGTAATCTCTCGTTTCCCCGAACGCCACATTCAGTTTTCATCTCATCTCACCAATGATCCGCCCGATGAGGCCTTTCGTACTAGTACCCATGCATCAGCGTCAAGCAGCCACAATTCACCGGTCGAGCGGAGCCGCATCTTAGCGCACGATTTACAACAGGGGCCATCACATCCTTTAGTCCAGAGACAGGGGTTTGTTACGGAGCCATCTTTCTCACTGTGAAATATCTATGTTATTGAATGCATTAATATCGTGTATGTCTAATTATTCTAGAAGCCAAAAGAGAGTTTGAGCGTCGGGTATATAGTGTGCCGCTGTGATCTAACCGGGAGGGTTATCCGTTCCGTGAAGACAATCCAAATCTAAAATGCTAATTCAGAAAAGGCTCATCGAGAAGTTTTGAGCTATTCGGCGGGAAATGGCAGTGGTTCCCGCTTCAAATGCCGGGTAGAACTTGACTCGCTCTCGAGATCATCGTAATCAGTACGATCCCGATTCTCTTTAACAACCTCGATCTGTGTAGTCTTGAAAGTTCTGGAAACCTGGATGCCGTCTTCCTTCCTCTGAGGCAACTCGATATCATTGCCACCAGCTTCAATGAAAGTCTGATTGTTGCCCGGAAAGACAGAGCCCATCTTCTTTCCAGTGGTTGTCTTTCCGCTTTTTTGACCAGAGCGAGATCGTGAGTCGGAATAGTCGTAGCCATTGGGATTGCTGGCCTTGACAACCTTGGTGATGAGTTCGGCCATGTTCATCTCGATGTGAAGTTTGACAAGGTACGTCAGAGGATGGAATTGAAGGTAGACGATATCATTGGGAAGAGACATCATTGCGATCAGCAGGACCTTGTTCTGTCAGTAGAGTAGAGTGACATGGATATGCAGTTGACTTACGTCCATTGTCATCGAGACAGCAATCATGAACAAATTGACGTGGTATAATCGAGTATACTTGGTGAGACCGTTGGCGATGAGGCGAGATCGAACGAGGTAGATGAAGTAAAAGTTCAAGCCAGCATCGACGATCAAGAAGATGCACTTCTCAACTCTATCCCAGATGGCATTGACAGCAATCCATTTGGGACTGATCTGTAATCGCGCAGGGATCCAGACACAGAAAACACTGATATTGATGGCTAGAAGCACAAGGAACACAATGAGTTTGAGTTTCCATGCGTTGTGTCGGTTGACCATGAGGATCGAGATTCGGTTAATGATAATCTGTAGTAGCGACTGGATCTGAATGGCCCAAAGAAAGACTTGAAGTAGGTTAGACCATGTGAGGTCGGATCCGACAACGGATACATACCAATGACAAAGAAGACTGGGAAGCCTGGTGGAATGTATTGTCGAAGATACAACCATGTAATGGCACTCATGATCACACTGCTCGTCCATTCCATCCACACCAGGACAAGATAAATATTCGTCCTCGTCCCTCTCTTCCACGATTTTATCGTCTGCTTCGCAGCTTTCGTGCCCGCAAAAATCGACACGCCTAGGGAGAATCCCCAAGCGATACTCGCAATGTTCATATCATTGGTACTAGGCTTATGAAACTCATAGTGATCCGATAACAAAAGGCCACCCATCTTAGCGGGTTGGCGAACAAGGAATGTCGATGTAAAGAAGAACAAGAATGCAGGGACTCTTAGACGAGAATTCCTTGGTGCATATATTTGAAGGAAAAGGTGCAGACGCTAGCTCGACTCAGGGGCCACGAGGAGGCGTTGCATCCGTTAGAGCGCGCACTCTTGCGTCTGAGCCTGGTCCTGGCTGCCTGGATGTTGCGCTTTTGCACCGGGATACGGACCGCTGAAGATCCTTTGTGTGGGAGGTTGCAGCCCAGTTGTCCGGACCCCCTGATGCTCAATCTCTTTTGGGAGTGTTATGACTGCAAGGTACCCCGCGATGTGTGATGTTGGTTACAGAGGTGCAAGATCCCGGGTCAATGGAGTTGAATCAGGCCACTTGAGGATTTCCTCACGGTCTATGAGTTTACCTTCTGGTCAACGTATACATCGACATATCGCCTTCGTTCCCGTCTTTTCCATCTTCTGTCAATGGCAGATTTGATCATTTGGTTCAATCACTAATCCGTATCTAAAAGTCATCCCCAATCATCACTATTGGCAATCTTGCATACAAGACCCTGGACGAGTATTTGCTTTTGCGGCTCCGCATCTTAGCGTCCATCAACACCCAAAAACCTGGAACAGAATCCCAAGAAATTAGCCTTGATTAACTTGCACTAGGCAAAAGGGGCTTATCTAGCAGCAATTCGAAAAACGTGGTGTTGGGATGATTAGAGACGGGACGAACTGATCCCGGACAGAAGGTAATACCTCGATGGTTCGTGCCTCAAGCCTCATCGCGTGGTGTTGTCAAAATGCCATGTGCTTACCCTGGTCAATGCTGAGGGTTCGGCTCCGCGGTGGATATGGGCCTCAGCCCTGAGAGTGAGACGCGAGTCAATCTATCGAAGCTTATTTTTTGCATAGTCTGGGCTGTTACAGATGTCGCTCGGGGGAAAGAGGGAATGTTTGCGATACGAGATGTAGATCCCAATGTTGTTTCCCTAGCCTGCGGCTCAGATTGAGTGTTTCGGTTGGTGTTTTTGCGGCTCAGCCAACACGTGAATGAAGCCAATCGGAAGATTTGAACAAGACCCGAATGCCATGTAGATTAATATTCCAAAATTGGCAAGCCTGACTGAATCATCGAATTTTTAAAAATTATAGTGCTTACGTTGGGTAGAGTATCGGACACAATGTACCTCATTACTATCACGCGATGCAGTTGGCGTGTGAACCCAAGGGCCAAGACGTGGTGCCCAGCTCCTTCATATGCGTCATTCATGTAGTTGAATTGACTCAAATCATACACAATCACGTTCAATTCCTTTTAAGTACACTCAATATGAAAAGTCGGTGACAAAGCTTTATCATTCAGATACTAGATATCGCTGCATAATCCGTAACGCCTTAGTTACCCTTAACACGCTGGTCAGGGCTGCCATCCTTCTTCAGGCCACCGTGCTCAGTGGGCTTGTAGTCACCACCGCTGCTGTCGGAGCTTCCAAGGCCCTCGCCGGAGCCGGAAGTCTTTCCGCCCTGCTCGCCGGCCTTGTGGGGGTCGACCTTGCCGTGGGCGAACTCGCCGGTGCCGACACGACCGTCAGGCTGACCGTCCTTGCGGAGGCCGTCGTGCTCTGTAAGTTGTTAGATATTGTGGTGTGAAGGAGAGTAGGAGGGAAGATGTACCAGTGGGCTTGTAGTCAGACATGATGAAGTAGTTGTTGGGGGTGTTAAAGGTTTGTGAAGTTGCTTGTGATTGTTGATGAGATTGAATGCTTGATGATGAATTGAAAGCACAACTTGGAGATTTGTCCTTCTTTTATAAACATCGATCCTCTCATATTCATCCAACAAACGCTGAGACATACGAGCTCATTGACGTCATGGATCGAATTGATCGGGCTGTTTGTTCTCTGTTCTTCACCGTAAGTATGGTCGTAGATGTCATTGACTTTGCTTTGTTCAGTTGCCAACGCAATGTCGCACAAGAAATTCACGGTCAGATATTGGTGATCGCCCAATGCTCACCCCGCATTCAGACTAGATGATGATGCGGTGTAACTAACAACAAAAGCAGCCAAACCCGGGGTATGGGTCAATTTGCAACGCAACTCTCGTTTCAATTGATCAAAATGAAGTATCAGCTTGTCATTGATGAGAGAATCAAGTTAGACAGTCTCATTCACGACATCAAGGGAGATGTTTGCATGGATCTACTAGTCCCAAAGCACTGTCGTTAGATCTCACAAACAAACTTATGATGGCATAGACTATTTAGAGTAGCGTTTCTGATTGGCCAGATCGAGCTGCCCCTGAAGTAGCCGCTCACACAGCCCTATCGTAACAGAGACTCTGGCGATCGCCATGCACCATGACACTTGTATGTCCGGCGCATCTCCTCCGGGTGGCTGACGTTCACCGTTAGACCGCTTAGATTTATGCAAGCACTACAGCACAAAGTATATTCATTAGCGACAACGGATTAACTCCGTGCAAGCTGTTTTGGGCCATTACTCGTGGGCACATGCCTAGTATGAGGAGGCGCTTTGATCATGCCATTGTCGTCACATATTTCTCCATCTACCCGGGATAGTGAGATAAGCATGCCAACGCAGGTAGTTTGAGGCCAAACGACAATGGTTTACGCAGGCTTAAAGCATAAGTATTGTTCAGTGTTAATTACTCCAAAATTAGTGGCTGGTCTCCAGAAGAATAAGGTCTACTATCTTTGAGATCTTCGGGGAAGCCCATTGACCGCAATCAAGTGGCAATTGCGAGCAACAGCCTCGACCTCTGACCACAAAGGCCACGTGCATCTGAACTGTCTTTTTATTGTGGCCGAAAAGAGTCTGATGTTTTGAAGTGTATGTATGAACCTCATCCTGTGAAATAATAAGCATCACTATCGATGAATTATCTTATCTTCAAAGTTAGCTGCTGCGCATTCTAAAATGAACGGCCATACTACGACCTGAAATCAATCCTGCCTATAGAATATATTTTTGTTCTTCGCAAGATTCTCTGTGGACTCAGTGACACACAGTTGTATGCCAATCAGCGATTCCTGACAATGTGAGAATCATTCGAATAGTCCCACTCGACGTCTCAATTGTCCCGATATTGCGGTTGAAGCTTGGAATTTTGATTGAGCCAATGGCGCAAGCTGGATAATTGTTAAGCGCTGTGAAAAAAGATGTTGGACTCATCAGCCAATTGGGCATCACAGCTCAAATGATCCCTGTCAGCTGAAAGCCGGGTCAGAACCCCTCGCTCAAGAATCTGACTGTCGCATTTCAATGGATTATGGGTATCTCACAGTATCATGGACCCTTTATCGATAGCGACAGGTTGCGCCACTCTCATTTCAACCATAGGGTCGCTCTCACTGTCTATCAACTCCTTTGTTCGAACTTGTCGCGAGTCTCGGAGTGATCTGGACAGGGTGGCCCGTGAGCTGCTCTCTCTACAAACAGTCCTTGAACTTATTCAGGAAGACGTGGCTGATGAGAGCAAGGCCTTTCCTACGACTCTCGAACGCCATGTCTCGGGTATCATCATCAATTGTAATTCCGTGGTCGTAGAGCTACAAGAGTGTATCACGAAATATGGCGCCGATAGTCGACTCAAAACCAAGGCTGGCTGGGCCATCAATGGACAAGGAGATGTCGCAAAATTGCGTTCGAATCTTGAGGCTCATAAGGCGGCATTGGAGTTAGCTCTGGATATGTTGTCGCTGTAAGTAAACTAGCCATCACTCCAGACAAGTTGACTAACAAATGTAGGCACATTACCAAAGAGATCAAAAACGACACATCGGAGATTCGGAATGAGACATCAGCGATAAAGGATGATACGGCGCAAATTCTGGAAGAAATACTTCGCCTTCAGAAACGATTACCGAAGCAAGGAGGAAACGACTATATCCTTCAAAACTTTCTTGAGGAGCTGACGACATATACCGAGAAAGCCTTGGACGGGACGTCTATCGACGAAGGGGATTCTAGCACAAAAGCGGCGTCTTTTGTCCTTGAGACGGATGAAGGGGGCCAGAGGCCTTCTGATCCCGCTTATCTCTCTGATTGGGAGTTGGATTCTGCAGCAAGTGACCCAACGTCATACAAATTGAAGAAGAAGAGATGGGAAGAGCAACGACATGAGAAAAGCCTGGTTGAAGCAAAACTGAAAGATGTCCAACGATCGCTTGAGTCTCCACAGGAACAGCCCATCGCTCTCCGTTCGTCAAGTCAAGAGACACCCTCCAAGGAAGACAATAAGCTTGCAGTTTTATCCGATAACGTTTCAACCCAGAGTGAAACAAAACACTGGGAGAAAGACAAAGAATGGCAAGCTCCCGTACAGCAGGCATATCATCCTGAAGTCGAGCGTTCAACGACATCGGCTCAGTCTACTTCATCACAGAGCGATACGAGGGGCGTCACTGGAATGTACTATCCAGACTACGCAAGAGTGTCTGGGGGGCAGAGATCTCAGAACAGATCAATCGAAGCCAGTCAAGCCGCCCAGGGACGACAGCTCGAACCTGATCCTACGAAACATGACAGTGATCATAAGAACTCTCGCGGTCACAAAAATGAAGAAGCAGGGAAAACCAACGATATCTCAAGAAAAGCAACAAAGTCAGACCGCCTTCCTCTCACCGCATCTGCCGCGGTGTCATCAACACCAGACTTCCACTACTTAGAGGTCGAAACCTTCCATGGCAGATTATTGATCAACTGGCCCATGCCAACGGCAGTCACAGATCTCTTGTCTGAAGACTACTACATCGAGTCCTCCTGTAATAGCTTCACGGCGTTGACATGTTTAGCCCAGGATTTTCGTTTTCAGAAGGATACTCTACGGCCCAGGCGGTTCCTGAAGCCCAGAGACATAAAACTTGTCTTCTACATCCCCGTGACTACTAAAACTACTTCTTCTTGTTTTAAACGCCAGTGGGAATTCATCACTACTGCAGTCACCGGATTGACACGGCGTCTAGAGCTGGGTGGTGATGTTCCACCTCCATGGCACAACGTCGTCATCGTCGTGGAAGGACCCCCACGATGGGACGGAATTGATCCTGAGATTGAGATTATCCTCACAGAACTTGGTATACTTTATAAGACAGAAACCCTAGTAAGCAAAGTCGATGGCGTTCCACTGGATCCGCCTTATCATAAAGATCATTGCAAGGTCTCTGGCAAAATGATACATGGGACAATACACGAGGTTCGTTTAATACTTAAAGGAAAACCACACTCACCTTGTTCTAACGTCTTAATAGTATACAGTACAGCCAACAATCCGCCCCCAACACGCCTGTACCAAGAATATCATGGGTACCGAACCGCTCCAGGTGATTGCAGTCGCTCCGCAGTTGTCTCTAACAGACTGGGCATCTCATAAACCAGCCCTTTCAGCCAACTGGGCAGCAGCTGTTTGCGAGGTCTTGAGGCCAGAGTTCATAATGTCTTTGCCAGAACGTCAGATCAGAGCGATACCGTCCCCTGGGGAGTTTCTCAAGGGCGTTTGGACCTGTGAAATACGGTTCAGGACGTCAAAACACAGGCAAATCAACCAATGCGTCTTAACCTCTCCTGATCAGTTCCAAGCGGATCGTAAGAAGATGATCACACGGGCAGAAGGAGCTCGTGGGTTTGCCAGAAGGCTCTTTGGAAACTCTTGATTCAATAGTCGGTCTCACCCGTCGATGGCCTGCAAACCTCTCTTCATCGGCACGCTGATTGTTGATGAATGAAACAGCTTCATTAGGCTAGGTAGCTACAAGAGCATATGGGGACGAAATAGATCTCGCTAGCTTTAAAAAGACCGCTCAGTCACAATCCTTAATTGCGAAAAGCAAGACCTTTCGCATTACGGCAGTAATTCTCATTTCAAGTGTGAATAGATTCGCATTAGCCACCAGAGCTAACTGAGGTAATCCGTACCCTCTCTTCTTGATCTAACCCGAGGCTATAATGCTCATCATGACCAAACGGTCCCTTTGGTAGGATGTGTTCCATGTGAATTGCGGGGTAGCTGGATGGATAATCCTGTTTCCTATGCTAAAGGCGGGGTTAATTTGCCTAGACTGACAAAAGTACACGCACAATGACGAGATAATGGCCAACTTAGTCTTCCCACATAAGCTTAGCATCATTATAAGTATCGCCAACCATTCGCAAATATCAAGGTTCTCATCAAGTACGGCAACTTCTCCAGAAACCCAACTAATAAATATCTAAACGCCTCAGCAGAGCCCCGACAATGTCTGAGCAAAAACAAGCCACCCAGTCCTCTAAGGGCCCAAGCTCCAGCGCCGGCCACAACCCCTCGACTTGTTACGAAGTCGCTAAAGATGGAGGTTCCCTCTCTAATCGTAAAGCCAGTTACGGTATCGGAAGTGAGTCGTCCAGCTTATCCTGAGTCTACTTCATAATAACATGTCTCAAGTGGATGCCAACAGTATTGAGGAAGCAAATGCGACTATTGATGCCTATATGGGATATAATCCAGTTAAGAAGGAATTAGGGGGGAATTAGGGGGGAATTAGTAGCAAGTAGGGTACACTTACTAAGTTTGCTTAATGAAAATAGTATAGGAATAACTAATTAGCTATCTAACTTCACAGCCATACTTCAACTGTAGAGTTAGCAGATGTCGCAGGACCTTGAATCCCCAGCAGTACAGGGACTCATCCGCATATCTAGTGTAAGTTTTCTTGGCTCCCTAAGCCTATTGTCAGGTTAATAAATTGGCATCTGTGCACTAAAACCGCTGCCAAAACGCAGGCCAAAGTCAGGCCTACACCAGAGCTACTGGGTGAGATGGACCTCCATTCGATGGATGGAAAACACGTAACGTGGCGGTACATCGGGGCGGCTTGCCAGCAACGAGACGTGCATTTTCGAGCACTCTGTTTAGATATTCGAGATAGAAGACTTCATTGGGCGGAATGGAATGGGCTTGATGGGATGTTGATGGAAGGAAAGACGAGATCTCTGACCGCTGAGGCTCAACCTAATCCGCGTGGACTTGCTGGCTTCAAATTCCATTTGAATCTATTAAACTTTGAGTGCTCATGGCTTAATCCTGCTTCCTTCCAACGATACCGCCCTTCTTCAAACCAAGCCATACTACAATGGTGACGGTGCTGCAGCTGGCAAAGATGGTCCAAAACGCAGCCCGATAACCCTTCATTAAAGCCTCTTGGCGTTCCGTGATGTTAGAATGCTCTGTAAATGAAGCAGCGATTGCAGCTGTGATGGCTAAACCGACAGAGTTGCCGAATTGAGCTACTTCGTTGAAGACACCACCAGCAAGGGACTGCATCTCCGGGGGATAGGCATCAGATATCACGAGGTTCGACACAGTAAACAGTACTTTATTATATTAGCTTGGCCAGATTAAGGCGATCGAGCTTACCATCTGGGTTGACGGGTGAAAGGAACATGGCCCAAAACGGAGCAAGCCAGTAGTTCTCACCGACATCAACGGTCGCCATCAGAGGCGCAGCTACCATTGTCACAAGTGCTGAGACGACAGCTAGTGTGCGAACTTTTACTTTTGCTATGAGGAAGCCGGTGATTATGTTGACTGCTACGCCCATGATGACATGCGGCAGAAACCTAAGGGAGCTCTCTAGAGCCGACAGGCCCTCAACTTTTTGGAAGCTTCGGAGCCAGGGTCAGTAAGCTATTAAATTAGTCTCTCAAAGGACTCACTATAGCGTTGTGAAATATTCAATACCATTCAGCGAAGCCCAGCACAGGAAGACAGCGATACAAACTGATGTGAAAGACCGGTTCTTCCAGAGGCTGTTGGGTATCAAGGCTGGCTTTCCGCGGTTGACTTGATAGTCCATCCAGAAGGGGAATGCAGCCAACATGATAATTGCGACTGTTAGAAGGGCAATGTTTTGGGGGTCATCCAGTCTCTTGTATGATGATGAGATCATGGCAAGGACATAGAGCAGCATGCCGAGCGCAACACTCATGGTGGTGGCTCCGACCCAGTCAATCTCATGCAACAAGCGAGTCGTCCACTTTCGCTCAGAGGGTGTATACACAGAGGGAAGCGACCAGATTGCGCCTGTCGATAGACAAAAGTTGATGATTGCGCTCATGTAGTAGGCCCATCTCCAGCCGATTGTATCGGTGAAGATACCTCCAAGGACAAGACCGAGGGCGTAGCCAAGAGGACTGCCCATGCCGTTGATGGCAAACGCAACATTTCTCCAAGGTCCTTTGGGGAAGGTGTTTGCTATCAAGCTGACAGCTGTAGGCAAGCACATCGATATAGAGGCTCCGAGCAATGTCCTGAAGAGAATGACCTGAATGCCCGTCTGAGCAAGGCCAACAGCCAGTGTGAAAGCCACAAACAGAAAACTCCCAGTAACCCACATCAATTTGGCCCCGACAACATCCGCAATCGCGCCAAAGATGAGTAGTAGGCATCCAGCTGCGAGCGCATACACCGCTGCGGGCCAGAGGATGAGGTTCTCGGAAAGGCCAACGTCGTCAGCGATTTTGGGAAGCGCAGCGATGAGAATGCCAGAGCCCATGGTATTGAGAAAGCTGATGCCTGCAAGAGTGACGATGACAATTACACCTCTGGTCTTGGATATTCCCAGGCCACCTGAGTCCTGTGCTCTTGGGGCATTTTCTTCTTCCGGGGCTGGGGGGTTCAACTGCGCATCGCTGCCATTGCTGGTGCTGGCTTGATTGGCTGTTCTTAGCTTCGCTTTAGGATTGAGGGGTTCCAAGGGAATGATGCCGCCGTGGATCGAGGCAGAGCCCGTGTCCGTCGTGATATCGAAGCTGCGATCCATTTTGCGCTGTTACAGCTGGTGCCTGATGAAGGCGACACGAGATTGATGTCAAGATAAGCTCTTTTAAGTAGAATCTGAGGTCGCATTAATTGCTGGTAGGCAGCGTCATACTTCAGTCGAAGGGCGCGCTTCACGCTGACAAATGACATCAGTTTACAAGGTTCGAAATAACTCAATTGGATCTGTCGAGGATGTAAGAAATTCGCCAAGCATTCCTTGACTCTGCTATTGCAACGTTATTTATGAGAGCTCGATAACAAGTCATGCCTACGCCAATGGATAGCGAAGTGATTTGGTGGCACGCAGGGATTTTTGGCGCCACTGCTGAAGTTTCAGTGAGTAACCCCCCTAGGAATGTTGGTGGCCTGCTGGGGTCCATTGAAGAGAGTCAGAGGCCTTCAATCACTATCGCGACAGGCACTCCCTATCGTCGGAGAAAGAGGCACAACCGAATGCTAAGGAACTGTTTTTATTCTTATATCATGCGACAACTGATAATCGTCAGTAGCGCGAACAATCTCGGCTATGGATATATGCTAACAACAAAACAATACACTCTACGCCTTCTTCAGCGAACCAGCAAGTTGCCCAACCTCGACACCATTAATCTCTTCAGAAGCCTCATGCTTCTCCTTCCACTCCTCAACCAATCCCTTAAAGTCAGCAGGAAGATAAGGCGAAGTAAGTTCTTGGAACCGACTTCCCTTGCGATGTGTCTCAAGTCCCATATCCTTCATCAACATGTTGCAATAAGGCAGACCCTCGAATACAAGATCAGGAAGATCAGCTCCGTAACCGCAAGGGTATCGCCACTTGCCCCATTGAGTGTGAAGCATAATCTCGTCAGTAATCTCCTTCTCAGAAGTAGGAATGCGATCGATCTTGCCAGCGAGGAAAGCAGCAATCCAGTGGCCTTGGATAGTTGCGCATGTGGCTGTGCTGACGGTGGAGATCATACCGGCGAAAGCCAAGTCACGGGTCTTGACCATGCCAGAGGGGATCATGAAGCGGTAGTAGCGGAGAGGGTTGGCTTCCTTGGGCTTGACGTTAAGCTCTGGTTGGTTCTTGAGGCTAGGGTAAAGAGAAAGGACCTTCTCGTCGGCGGCTTGGGCCAAAGAGCGCTTCTTCTCAGTGGAGTAGGGTAGACCAAGCTCATCCTCTGCGAACTTGATAGTAGACTCCTTCTTCCAGCCAGTTGAGCAGATGATAGCGTCGGTGTCGATAACGTTGCCAGAAGCCAGCACAGCTCGGTTAGGCTCTAATGACTCAATATCATCGATGTGGACTCTGATCTTGCCCTGCTTAACAAGATCAAACAGAGGGCTGTCGTAGTTGAGGATACTAAGTCCACTACCGATCCAAAAGGCAGAGTGCCAAGGCTTGAGCTTCGCAAGCTCAGGATGAGAGTCGTAGCCAATAGCGCCAGTTACGTCGTTGCTCAAAGTCTTCCAGAAGTTGCTAACAAGGAATCGGCCGACAGAAGTTCCATGGAGGAAGTTTCGCACAGCAGGATAACCGTCTTCCTGACCCCAAGGACAAGGGCTGAACCAAGTCATCCATCGAATGTTCAACAACTGATCAAGTCGCTTCTTGAGAGGTGTGACGAAAGGAGGAGCGATCCAAACCGGACCATTTCCTGTAGGGCGAACAACCAAATCGACTGTTGCGCCATCTTGAACCAGAGCGTAAGCAACATCAAAGGCAGACTTGGCACCACCAACAACGATAGCCTTCTTGACGTTCAGATTAGGAGCCTCCTTGCAGAAGTCCTTAGCGTGGAAGAGAGGAGCACCGAACTTCTCAGCGTTCTTGTACTGGGGCATATTCGGTGTTGATGTGAGACCAGTAGCCAGGACCAATCTCTCGGTAGTGATACTTTCTGTTCCCTCGGGAGAAGTAACACTAACTCTCCAGCCAGCATCCCCATTTCGCTCCACCAAGTTCACAGCAGTGTTGAACTGGATTCGGTCGTGAATGTCGTAGTGCTTAGCAAAGTCGGTGAGATATCGGTGGAGGACTGTTCCAGGAATGTGGCTGTTGGGCTTGACGCCGTATGTCTTCTCTACCATGGGAAAGTCGGGGAATTCGTATGTGCCCTTCATGTTGTTGGACTTGAGACCAGGATAGAGACGGTTCTTGGACCAAGTGCCACCGCATGACTCGGCGGACTCGAGGACGGCGAGATTGGCGTGGGGGCTGATTTGTCTGATGGCTTTTGCGGCGGCCAGACCAAACCATCCTGACTTGTTAGTTGACGATGTCTCTGGAAGGGGGAGTGAGATGCTTACCGGCGCCTACAACCACGACATCATATGATTTAGTCATATTGTCTTGATAAAGGTAGAAGAATGAATGTTGAGAGGTAAAAGGCAAGATCGTGTATCCTCTATTAGTTGAAAGAAGCAAGTATGATGATGCAGACAGCCAAGGGGCGAAATGGGCTTTCTATATCTCTCCAACCACAAGCGTCGGGTATCCCCAAACGTCAGTTTCACTCCAAACCCTCGTCTAATCTCCAACTGACACTTCAGCTGAACCCCTAAAACAACCCAACAGCGTGTCGGAACGATATCTCAATGCTGTAGAACTGTCGTAAACAAGGAATGCCGATAACACTAGCTTGGGTTCTACCCCAGATTCGACGTTCCGTTATCCCCATTCCGTCCCCACGTATCAATTGCCTTATCTGGGGTAAATCATTGCTACGGAACGACACGATAGCTTCAATAAGTGTTCCGAACCCTGTAAATCATATATCTAATCCAGCTTAGTGACGCAGGAACAGATATGACTCGCTGGAGTTGACTCGGTTATCATGCTTAGCTCGAATGCTAACAACGCATCATGCGCCTACGGACTTTCCGGTCGGAAGTTCCGAAGCTGAACCGTTTATCTCAGATCTGCGATAAGGCTTGTCAAAAGCGGGGTCTGCGATAACCCCTCGTATCATAATCTGGGGTTTACTAACCTTCGGCGGAGTTCCGCTCTACGTACTTCACATTCTAATTTACTATCTATATATTGTTTCTTCGAGCAGCGCCTAGACCACCTTTTACCCCCAGACTCAAAAACCAACCAATCAATTTTCACCATGTACGCCGACATTTCAAAGCCTCCTGCTCCTCTTCCCCAGGCCAAGCCTGAGACTGTTGGTGAGGGGATTAGTCTTCTGCCTCCACTTTCGAGACGGGGTCATGGACCTGGTCTTGTTATTCTGAGTCCTGACTCGGAGAAGCATTTGGAGATTATAGAGGGTGTTCCTTCTGCTCTTTTGAAGTGGGCTGAGGAGGGATATGCTGTTGTGGAGATACAAGCAAAGGCGTTTAAGAGAGATGCTGGTGAGGTATTGAGTGATGCTTTGAAGGCTTTGACGGGATGCGAGCAATTGGAGAAGGATAGCAAGATTGGACTTATTGGTGAGTGAGTCCCTGTGTTGGTAGGTGATGTGATACTAATTCTCCGACAGCATATGACCCCAAGCTATGGAACCAGGTAGCCGGCTCAGTCAACGACTCTGGTCTAGTAGGTGCAGTGATCTACGCCAACGACGCAGATCTTGCAGGCCTTGAGAAATCTAGCATCCCCATATTGCGCCACATTGCAGGCCGCACAGCCATCATTGAGAGAAGTGATGGCCTTACAACATACTCATACTCCAGCGCAAAGTCTCATCTCATGGCAACGCCATTCCAAGATGACTTTGACTACTGGACCGAGTCACTATCACACACAAGAAACTTGACGTTTCTCAAGCCTCTTACTAACGGTCCCTACTTTGATCTTGAAGCTATCTGGGATGAGCATACCTATTATGAGTTTGCGGACCGCTCGGTTGAGCATACGATGAGCACTATGGTTGATCAGCCATATGTTAACCACGTACCTACAGTAAGTTCACTGCAGCTCTTAATCATTGAGGCTCTTCTAGTATACTCACATCGATCCAGCTTACTGGTGGTATCGGTCGCAAGTCACTTACAACCTTTTACCGCGATAACTTCATCTTCCAAAACTCAGACGACACAGAACTTGAACTCATCAGCCGCACAATTGGCATTGACCGCGTAGTCGACGAATTCCTCTACAAGTTCACACATAACAAGACAATCGACTGGCTGTACGTTACCTCAATCTCTCTTCATACCACCTCCACTAACGTCCCAGACTTCCCGGTGTTCCACCAACCGACAAGAAGATGGAAGTCCCTTTCACAGCAGTCGTAAACATCCGCGGCGATCGCCTCTACCATGAGCATATCGCATGGGATCAAGGCACTGTTCTTGCACAATTGGGCTTGATACCGCAGTATCTTCCCTTCCCATATCCTGTTGCAGGACAGAAGGAGGGTGCCAAGTATGAGTATCGCGTGCCTGTGACAGGTCTTGATACAGCGGCGAAGATGAGGGATAGGAATTCGGTGGCTTCGAATGAGATGTTTAGTTACAAGGTCAGGGAGGTTTAGTGTAGCATTTTGATATTAGCATTAGTTCGGCGTCAATCAATTTCGTTACAACACTAGGTTTTTTCCCGCGGGTAGTATTCGGTCCCGGCTCCCCGAGATATGACGACAACTTTGCCCCACTCAGAGCCTTTCTTCTTTGGACGCTCAGAGTCGCGTGCATTTGAGCCTCGACAATCGTGGAGGTATTGTAGCCAATTGCATCAGTGTTGTTTCATGATGAGACAAAATGGTATAAGACCATTGGCTTGGGAGTTTTGCTGTTTCTGGCATGTCAAGACACGAATGCTTGGGGGCAATATCCGAGATTCCATCAAAATCGTCCGATGATGATAGACTCCGATTGAAGCACGTTGACATATTATCAGTGCGACATTTTTTTTGTTTACCGCACCCTATACAACATGATCACCGGTAGTTTGAGACATTGCCACCATTAATGACTATGAGGCGTTTATGCTTCCAGGTGAGCGCCTTCACCTGCATCCTTTGACTCGGCCATGCCGTGAAATGCGATAAACTGAATCATCTACCCTGAACCCTACCAACCAACCAATGCAGCGGATGCTCTTCCGAAACCGGGATGCAATGATAAGGGTCTTTCAAACCGATCATGTCTGATTGGCCCCAAACCGCTCATGTAAGCCGTTGGCCACCGCCTAAACCGCATCGATAGAAGGCCGCTACTTATCTCCGCAGCTAAAATTATGGGAGATAAGAAGTAGAAGCTTAGTCTCGCCGATCTCAGTCTAGTCAGGTTTACCCCGCATGGGTCCAAGGTGAAGACCGACGCTAGTCAAGATTGACCCAAGATAAATAATCAACGCGGTCTTTCTTCACCTTTTGCCCCCGAGTTTCCGCCTCTCTCTCCTCTGGCCCGACTTCCGACATACTCGAAGGAATATTGCATGAAACGACAGACTCAATTGACTGGCTACACTGAGATACCCATCAACGCGACGCGACAAAACAAGGGGCTGGAACTCCTATTTTAGCCATGGCCCAGGCACGTGAACCCAAAGGAGTCAAGAAATCCACCACTTCAACCGGAGAAACCGGAAAACGGAGGACACCATATGCTCTGCGCGCATGCGACGCATGTAGACGACGAAAGGGAAAATGCGACGGGCGGCAACCATGCAGACACTGCTCAAGTCGCAACCAGAATTGCAGTTACAGCAGCAGTCTTGAGAACAATAGCTCCAGTCTTGACAGTGACGATTGGCACCCCGCCACAACGACAGCAGCGCCTCCAGCGCCCGCCATCACTGACCCGATATCTGCGACTACGAACCATGACTGTGCGACTTCGGGGGCTTCATGCCAGACGAACCAAGCTGCGATTGTTGACATGCTCTCTAGTCTTCAAGAGCAATTGAATAGTTTGGCGTCGCAAGTGCAATACTCGAGTAACCAGGAACAAACAAATCTTCCCTCGCCAATGACGATGATTGCTGCGACACGGCCCCGCGATCCTATTCCCAACACAAATCCCAATACAATACCCATCATCAGTCACAGCTACACTGAATCCACCACCGATGATCAGAGCTCAACGCCAAAATCCTCTCGAACAACCGCCTCTCAACATTTCTACGGCCCAACATGTCCAGACTACGCATTGAACGTGGGACAATTAAAACTCCGACGGAATAGCTTGCCCGGTCCACCACTCCAACAAAAGCAATTACAACTTGCCAGTATTCACGAAGACGATGCTTCCGATGAGGCGGATCAGAACGATGGTCAAAATACACAGTTCTCTGTGTCGCCGCGCACAATCGACAAAGGCGACCCAGCTATGCTTTTGACATTTCGCTCAATTATGGGGTTGCAAGAGACCACTCAGCTTTTGTATATTTATCAAGAGGTCGTTGGTGAACTTCATCCCGTTGTTGATATTGATGCGCTCATCATGCAGACGCGCTCATGGTATGCTGAAGCTGGTGCTGGAATATGGGATGTTCTGGCGTCGAGCACTGGAGCTGCTACGTACGAGTTGTTATTAATATTGAATCTGTGCTTGGCTATTGCTTTGAGGGCTGATGGAAACCCGTCGAGTTCAAATACAGAGACTTTACTGAGGGACAGCTTTCAGGATGCTGTGAATGCGAAGCTGGCTGCCCCTGCTAATAGCATTCAGCATGCGACCATCATATTCCTCAAGGTATGGTATTACCACTATCGTAAATGAGAAATTTACTAATTGAAACAGGGCTGGTATGACTTCTTCCAAGAGATGCCCCGCTCAGCTTGGCGCATGTGCGGCATTGCAGGTCGCATGCTGATGGAACTCGGTCTTCACAACGCCGAAGTCTTCAGACATACCGTCAAGACTGAGGCTCAACGAACAGAAGCCTGTACTCTGATCAGCAGTATTGTCATTCTCGATCGGCAATGGAGCTACGCAACTGGTCTACCGACACACTTTCAAGACAAGAGCTTCAGTTCCGTGTCTACATCTTCTGTCAAGAACCCATACCTCAAAGCCATGCTCTCTTTCATCCTTATAAGCGATCGTTTCAGTGAACCTATATCCAACGCCGCGAAAGGCGAAGGCTATAACGATGAAAACTCATTTGAGTTGATGAGCTTTCAGATCGAGCAGTGGAGAAAGAAGGCTGTTGGTGATTACACCGTTGCAAACTGTCAAGCATGGCATACAGACCCGTCGACCCGTCCACCAACATGGACAATCCTACTTAATCTCCGAGCGGAATCCGTTCGGAGTCAACTCCTCAAACCATTCTTCTTTTCCGAGTTGGATATTGAGATTACAAAGAACCACGTTCGATCAGCAACTGATCGAGTTTACGATATCATTCATGTTTTACACACGCTTGACGCGACCACGGATCTCTACCGCAAACAACATCCATATTACCAGCATATACTAGCGTGCACCGCTGGTCTAGCATTTCTGCTCATCGCTTTTATAAAGCAAAATAGAGTAACAATGCTGCCAACCCTCACCCCCGAACTTATCGAATCTCTCGGTGGCAGTTTCAGCATGTGCGTGACTCTCACAACAAAATACACGCACCGCTCGCGCTCCGCACGTCGTCTCGCGAAGCGTCTTATCGAGATGCGACGCAACCTTCTCAGCCTGGGTATTCTCAACCCAGCGAGCCCAGGAAGCCATGAAGGTCTAGATAACGTCACAGAGTCAATCAGAAGAGCGAGTCTTGCGCAGCCAGTTGGAGATTTCCAGCCTTATGCGGAGTACTCGCCGCCTTTTAATAATGGGGTCGTTCCCGGGGGATTTGTGGCTGGGACGGTAATTTCGGATACGGATATGCAGATGGGCTGGGAGGATTCGCTAAGGTTGCAGTGGCCGATTGGGGATGTTAATCACATGTTTTCGGAGAGCATATTTTGATTACTATTAGCGCTAGGAATGAATTATGATGATTATGATCCCGTAGCCGATGATTTGCTGTTCCGTATTATGGTAATGATAGCGGGTACGGGGTTCAGGAACGGATACGGGCGCTTGCTGAGTCCCGGTGCGGTATCCGCTTCGCGGGCCGCTGTCGAGTTGAAGGCTTATCACTTCAGGCTCGTGGCGGGAAAGGTATCTCAATCATATGATAACAACTGACTTGGCGATCAATTGTGCTAGTTGCCAGTTCGCGATACCAACATTGCGATAACCATGCGTTGAGTGATACAGCGTGAAGATCGAGACCTGTTCCGACTCTCCATCGATGATGCAGCATGTGATAGAACACGCAGTTGAAGGCGAAGGTTTCAAGTTGAAGAATTAATGATTGGGGAGATGAATAAAGTCAATTTGATATAATTCTCAGCGCTAAACCCAGCCTAGTTGTTCTCATAACTAATCAATCCATCAATAGTACCAGCATGCAATCCGCCAGTAATCGGAATATCCGCTGCCGTAGTATGTCTCGCCGCATCGCTCAGCAAGTAAATAACCGCCCCTGTAAGATCATTTTGTGTACTCAACCTCTGATTCGGTGGCGCCAACCACATTTGTTCTCCCTCCCTCTTACTCTTAAGCTCACGAACAGTCCGCGTCATCTCAGAATCCACAAATCCTGGAGAGATGGTGTTCACCCTGATACCCTTTGGTGCTAACTCGACGGCCAAGGCTTTGGAAAGCATGAAGATACCGCCCTTTGAGGCGTTGTATGCCGCCATGCGGTAGCCGGGAAGGCCGATGTGTGCGGACTGGGAGGCGAGGAGGACCATGCTTCCGCCTGTGCCTTGCTTAACCATCTGGCGGGCCGCAAGTTGAGCCACAAAGAATGTTCCTCGTACCTATCCCTATTAGTCAAGTCAATCTTGGCAGACCGGATAACTTACATTAATGTCTTGGATGCGGGTAAACTCCTCCCAGGTCTGATCCAGGAACGGCTTATCAATAGCGATACCCGCAGCGGGTACAACACCGTCGATAGTCTCAAACTCCTTCAATACCTTGTCGAAAGCCGCATTGATGCTCTCCTGTGACGTGACATCCGTTTGGATGTAAACAGTCTTGGCAGAGAACTTTTCACTCAACGTGTTGAACTCGGCAGTAGGCTCTTTTTGGATATCTAACACCGCAACATTGCCGCCCATTTCGCAAATGGCTCGCGTGCAAGCGAAACCAATGCCCTGAGCTCCACCAGTGACGATGTAGTTTCGTTCGCGGAGCTCAAACATGGGACGGACATCTTGGAGAGCGTCTGTAGCCATCTTGATTGAGTGGATATGATATGAATTGAAGAATATGATAATCAGTTATTCAGTCTAGATTGTATTTGATGACAGTATTCCTTATAAATGCCGTGGCTACATCATCTTATCGGCTCTGTACTTATCATCTGCTGAACGATTGCCGACCCCGGAATGTGGATAGTGACCCACCTTCCGGCCTTCGGAACCGTCACGGACCATTCCGTTTATAGCAAAGGTCCAAGCTGAACCAAGTTGATCATGAGACTGTTGTTATCAAATAACTGATTGGAGTAAGAGGAATTATCGTATTTATGCATGCTCTATTATTCTGTATCTTATCGTGGTAATTGTCATCCTCAACGACGTAACTCCATCAGCTGAAACGATATCGAAAATGGCTTCTCATCCCCCTGCTGCGTGCTGCACTATTGCCAACCTCCATGAGTAAGTCATTCATAATACTTTCACCTGGGAATTATTTCAGCTAAGATTTTCGAGGGGAACTCCCAAAGGAAATGTTGTCAAAGTCGGCAATGTCACCGGATATCTAGCAAAGTCCCCCAAAGAGTCTAAGCAGGCTGTCCTATACCTCCCAGACATCTTCGGAATCTGGCAAAACAGCAAACTCATGGCCGATGCCTTCGCTGCTGAGGGATACACATGTCTTGTTGTTGACACTTTCAATGGGGATCCCGTGCCATTGGAGATGCCTGAGGGCTTCGACATCATGAAGTGGCTTGGTGAGGGCTCCGATGGAAAGAACCCCCACACAGCGGAAGCTGTGGATCCCATCGTCGTCTCTGGTATTGAGTACCTCAAAAGCATTGGTATTACTCAGATTGCTGCCGTTGGATACTGTTTGGGAGCTAAGGTTGGTTGCATATCCTAAAGTTAAATCTTCCATACAACTAACAGCCGATAGCACCTCATTCGTCACTACAAGGATGGCATCAACGTTGGATTCATTGCCCATCCCTCCTTCGTTGAATCAGAGGAGTTGGCTGCCATTACGGGCCCTCTGTCCATCGCAGCCGCAGAGCTTGATGACCTATTCACAGTAGAGAAACGTCATGAGAGTGAGGGAATCCTGTCCAAGTCAAAGCAGGACTTCCAGATCAATCTTTTCTCTGGAGTTCATCACGGCTTTGCTGTCAAGGGAGATATGAAAGATAAGAGGCAATTGTTTGCCAAGGAGCAAGCGTTCAACCAGGCGGTGTCTTGGTTCAAGAGGCATTTTGAGTAAAAATATGATTATACCAGTTTCCAAGACTTAATCCATTTAGTAAAGAGCCTTCGAAACTCAGGCTAAGATCAAACACCTACTAGAGATATAGACCGAGAGTTGACCAATTATGCGATATTGACGATAGAGCTACCGGCTCAGCCTTTACTGAGATTTCTGTCTACCCGTTACATGGTGAAATAACACACATCGTTAAATGTCTGCAAAAAACTTTATTTACAGAAAGCAGGCAAAGTCTCCGTTGCATTAGCTTCGGCACACGCGATTGCCAAAGATAACTCATACGACTTGACTGATACATCAAGCGACTTAACACTAATTTCCAATGCTTTCTTGGCAAGGACTAAGCCAGCCACGCCAAATACAATGCTGATGACAGTGAGAAGCAATACAACTGCTGCGGCCCAGAATGTAGAGTACTCCAAGAAGTTACTCTGGTCGGGCCGCAGCCGCAGCTGAGACCAACCGCTAGGCCCTTGTTCCCAGACATCTAACAGCTGGGAGATCTCTGTTCCCCAATATGAGAAGTCTCCAAGCGATAATGATCGCTCGCGGCCAAAAGGGATCTTGAGGAACCTTCTTCCTTCTCTTGATAAGAAAGCCTTAGTGTCCTTGTCATCTGGGAAAAGCAGTTTGATCGTGTCAACTGCTTCCTGTACAAATTCCTTTGGAAGTTGACAGTCGTCTGGGTATGCAAGGTGATTTCGCAAGGCAATAGCGTGCTCAAAGACTGTAATTTGTTTGTATTCCCAGTCAATATTGAGATGCTGCGCCAGATCACTTGTCCACTTGACTTGGAAGTCATAGTAGCGTGTCAGATTCGCAATCGAGAAGCTCTGAGAAATCTGTCGAGATTCGGCATCCGTCTTTCTTCCTGGCGGATACCAGTCTTGTACCACAAGGCTCAATGGCATGGTCTTTGGCCACCGACAGGAGCTTGCTGAGCCAGACGTTGAATGCTCGATATAGACCATAAGCCAAATTCTTATTGCCATATCGGCTGATCTCATCGTTTCATCCGAAGAATTTGCGAATAACTCGGACTTTTTCTTATAGGAATGTTGCCGAATCTGATCGATCATAGATGCGAGCTCGTCTATAGATTTCGTGGAGTAAAGAATCGACTTCCGTTCAATCAAGCCCATTTGCTCATCCAAGAATAAGAAGTATTTGTCATATAGGTCTAGATAGGTATCGAAGTCGCTTCGAGGCATGCGTGGCCATATCCTTTTGAGAATTCCATATTTTCTATCGCTACTCAGATCCCGTATAGACATATTGTTGAAGTTGAGTTGTGAGATTAGTGCCACAATGTTTCGCCGGGCGGCATTGTTTAAGGCCAAGGTTTGAGAGCTATGAAGGTAACAACCGAATAAGATTGAACTTGATTTACTATGTAGCTTTACTTCAAAAACTGGGAGATGAGATAAGAGACAAAGTCAGATGATACTTCCGCAGATAAACTGAGACGCGAACCGCTGTCTCTAGGTCTTTGGCTCCCTCTTCTAGTCCCATCTAGCCAGTCTGCCTTGGCAAGCCACCTGCCACTATATGCAGGCAAGACTGGCCTGGACGACACTTTTGGTACTGAACTATGAGTTCCAGCGTGACCGTGGCTTGCATGATGGACCGGGGTTTGAACCAATAACAGGAGTCGCATACCTTGCTAGGCTCTCTCGCTATCGGGGCTGCGGCTGGTGAGCCCCGCGTTGCTTCCTGATCATACCCATTTTCCCATTTTTGAACCTGGCATCAAAAGATTTGAGTACGAGAAGTCCTTGAAATGCCTCCGAGACCTAGGATCTCGTCCCTGTTGCCATGTTAAGCATGACATCCACTTCATCAGAGACCGAGGTATATATTACACCACCAACAAGTCCATCGCAAACCACAACATGCCAATTTCCTGGGCACATTGTAGTGCAACCCAGCTTCCTCGATCTTGAATTTGATGAAACTCGCTTTTCACTTCCAAATAAGGCCAGGGGCATATGCTGCTCAGTTAAGAACGTCTGGTATTCCAACCATCATTGGCCCGAGCAGTCTCAGTACAAATATCTCTTCGAACAGGCCTCGGAGACTTGGGAAAAGCTAGCACCGGAGTTCAATAAAATTTGGAATGTGGTATGGAGGAGGTCGCTTGCTACAACTCCGTGGACCGTTGAGCTACGGCTTGCTGGTGCCCACCAGCCCGACGAGGAACGGGTTATCATCAAGCCGAGCGTTTGGATTAGGACCACGGATGAGCCTATTCGCAGTAGTACTGTTTGGAAGAAATTACAAAAGCAGGTTCGCAAACTAGGTCTCGACTCGCAACAGTATGCGTCAATATTCGCCGAAGGTGGGTTGAGATCAGCAAATGGTCCGGCATCGGTACCATGGGAGCAATTGGATTTGCGAAAAGGAATCAAGTTTGCATACGACTTAACATTACATACCCACGTTGCCTGGTGGGCCGTCAGTGGACCATATGAGTGTGGTGAGGTCTGCCTGACCACGATCGTCAAGTACGGACAAATAGTTTACCAGGAAGTATCACGCATCGGTGGCGTATTGGTCATCAATGCCTCACTCGAGGTAGGGGTGACCTCAGGGCACGCCATGCTTCTTTACTTCTTGCAGAATATCGATCAGTCGTCTACGACCAGTATAACGCACTTGAAAGACACTAGTAACAACAGCTATACTTCCAGCTCCGATTCTGGTGCAGAGGAAGATGATGAACAAAGCAGTAGTGAAGAGTGCGAGCTCGTGGAGAACGATACCGACAGCACGGACCCCAGAACCGATCTCGGTTATGTCGATCTCGAGAAAGTCGGTACCTGGATTCCAGTGAACCTGTCAGGAATGGTCAACTTCATCAAACAGGCTGAGGTCGACGTGTCGACCAAACCCTCATATACGAAGCTCCTGAGCCCTTCAACTGGCTCCATACCTGCCGACTTTGCCCTTGTATCTCGAGTAGAGTTCGATTTGTTTCTAGGGCAGAGCGACAATATTTACAATTTCAACGGGAGAAACAACGTATCCAGCATCTGCCCCGACTCTTCGTTTACAGCGAATGAGCAAGAAATTTTAGTATTGTTGGGTAATGGAATGGAAGCCTCTCAAGGTTTCCTCCAATCAGCGAAGATACCCTTCTCTATAGGGAGCACAACTATTTCGGCGCGAAAGATTCGCTTAAATGCACCATTAGGTAAGTGGTAAAAAGGGAGAGAGCATGAAAAGACATTAAACTAATCGTCGGTACAACTGACCAGGTCGAGGCACGTCGGGGTCTTGGGTTGTTTTACGAGATTCAGGCAAATTATGCGGCGCAATCATAGCTGTGTTCGAACGAGAGCCGTTTGCACTTATGATGACCGCGCAGAGCCTTTTCTCCGATATAATCGAGTACTCCCGAGATGTGTCACTTGTCACACTTGGATCCTGCAGACTGGACCTGAAAGATGAGAGCCAAGCCTTGGTGTATAACAATCTCGGGCAAGAAGTGGGTTTCAGATCCATCAAAGAGGGTATCAATATCCCTAAACCTGAGACGAGATCGAGTAGGGCAATGGAGAAGTCCATAGCAGTGCCTGAAAGGTCTCAAGTGATACCTCGCGCCATACCGCCAGACCCAACGACAGCCCCGAGCCATGGACAGCCGCATACAGCTAACATCTGTTCTTCTATGGGCAATAACCAAGGGAGTGTTAGTGATACTGGGTCATTCGAGCATTCATCGTCACCTGATGCCAGGACCCTGTCACTTAACCGCGTACAAGTGTGGTTACCTGATAATGTAATTGCTCGAATCTCCGCCAGAGTAATCAGTATCAGTCACCTGAACTCCAGCTTCAGCCCTATAAAAACGCTCGAGTCGGATATGTCAAAGACACAGCCGTCAACTGGAGCCCTAAGATTCCCAGATGCCTCTCGTCCTAACTCGGCTCTCATGGGATTCGGCTCTATGTTTGACCAATTTATGCCTAGCCGCAGAATAGATTTTAGTCTTCAATGAACTCGACAACGTCTGCAGGCATGCAGGCAGTGACTGGAAATCGAACTCACAGCCCAAGATACCATTCTTTGTTTAATTTTGGAATTGATTGCCAAAACATCTCTATTACAAAATACATGCCCAAGTTTGGGATGTGATGCTAAGAAGCGGGTATTAATTGGGACTTTTCAGTGAGTTGACTTTATATATCTGGCTGAGATATCATGAGCTTTGACTATTAATCGAACGATCTACTGGTTGCAAGACTCCACTTAAAGGAGTCAGCGCTCATTGTATTAGTAGAATGCTTAATAAAGTACCCCTAAATTCTATAGTTCTATTATATTTGTACTAAGTGCCTGAAATGACCAATACCGATGCTGTCCTTTTGCTGCAATAATCTAGTATCTAGTTGTTTACAACTCAAGTGAGAAAGATTCATGTAGTAAGGGTGAATACGAAAATGACACCAAAAGAAACAATGCTAGGCTATCATATCTTGAGTTGTTCCGTCATGAATATATTTGCTTGGCCGAAGGGCCAAAACCTTGGTTGATATTGGTCGGGCCCGCCACGCTTAGGTCTTCTTCTCCCATCTGTGAGGTTGTGAATAATTAGTCAAAAACGGGATGGAGGATTTACTTACAGATCAAGGAACAATTTCCAGAGAATAGAGAACAGAATGCCCTGTAGGCCGTTGGCCAAAATGCGCGTCTTGAGTCCACGTCCAAGGAGGCCAATAACCCCATCTTGGATCACCACAGCACGTGCAGCCTCGGCTGAAAAATGATCATGTTAGTTACGGACTTTGGATTCTTCTGATGTTAGGTGACCTTACCATATGAAACCTTGGTGTCGTTAACTTGTCGGTAGGTTTTGACAACTCTCAATGAGTTGGAGATAGAATCGGAGACGATGGAAGCGCAGAAGCCGATGAATGCAAGGCGGAGCAACCACCAGAATAGAGGATGTCTGGGGGGTTCGGTGATGACCTCGGACAAGTAGTTGTACTAAAACAAATCAGTTTCGCATCTATCGACTTAGAGTCTGGACTTACGGTAGCGAACCAAGGATAATGGCCAACGAAGGTAGCAGCAGCGGTAGCAAAAGCTCCCCACCACAAGCTACCAATTCCATTTGACTTGATGCGCCGTCTCAGAAGGGCTGTTCCACGAGCACCTTGAGCTTGGAGAGTTGTCTTCAAAGTATCGATGGGCGTGAGGATCATGCGGAACGCAGCGGCACTAGCAACCAATAAGCTTCTTCCTACAAAGAAGGCCGAATCCGACTTACCATAATGAGGCAAAAATGGTTTTGACAGGCGAAGGAAGATTCTTGAGGTACGGGTTTGACTGGAGCAAGGCAAGAATGCCAGCGTTGGCAGCTGTATCTCCGAATCTCGCGATTGGGCCTAGAGCAGTTAGAGAAGAATGTTTTAAAGTTTTGGATAGTAGCACAAACCTTGGAACAACGCAGGTGCAATTCCTTGGTAGTATCTGCGAATTCCGCCTTCAGTGTAGAGAGTCCGCGTGGCAACAGTGAAAGACGTGCCATGGCGATACTGATAGTTCATAATGGTTCGCAAAGGCTTTACACGACGTCAGTCGAACTGAATCCATACTTTCGAGAGAGTGGCCTACCATCAATAGTAAGACTTGCAGCACCATGGCCGCCGCACCGCTGAGTCCTCCGCCAAGGGCCCGTTTAAGGGCTTTCTTGAGGTCAAACTGAACAAGTTAGTAGGCATTTCTCGTGAGGCACTGGTATCTGACCTCAGTCTCATCTGAATCAATCCAGCCCTTTATAAAAACCGCCAATACCACTATCGCAAGCACAGTCCAGAATATCCTCCAGGCATACCAGCTCCTCGGTCTTTTCTCCGGAGTCGGCTCGGCTTCCGGCTCATTATCGGTTTCATTTATCTCCGGCGATGGCTGGTCCACTAGAAGCGGGGTTTGCTCAGTGCTCCTCGCAAGAGCCTCGGGATCGACTTGAGTCGTCATTGTAAAGCTTGGGAATGTTTTATATCCTCAAATGAATGATGATAGGAGAAAAAAGAAACGGGTGATGGAGATTCTTGGGGTCCCCGCAATCGTCATTGATTAGTTAGCGATTTGCGTGCTAAATATGCTGATTACGTGCTAATTTAAGCGGGGACAGACCGCGAGCATTATTAATCCACGTTATCTTGTCTCAGTTCTCTTATCTCGATAAAGGCTCCAATGTCGATATTCGAGGTGCGACTCAAACTATATTGGCAGTCGGGGATAGATTTGGATTCGCAGAAGCAGTATTCTCAACTTGTTGTCTCGCAACCCCGTCATTGGACGCAGCTTTTGCAGTGTACTAGGCCGAAACTCGGCTGGCGCACCATTTCACACCATTGACAGGGACAATTCATTGAAGTACAGAGTAAAGCAATCGCCCTGGCATTTCACTAAGCAAGCATATATATTCTCCCCGTCTATTGACAGAATGGGCTAGTCCACTGTGGCTGTACTAATACGCGCTGAGTTTCAGTTGCGGTCGCAGAGGAGACCAGCTCCGAGGTGATAACTTAAAATAGACCAGGATACTGTGACCAACATGCATTTGTAGAATGGCTACCTCTTGCTACCACAACAGGCAGCTCTACCCCCGCATCTCTTCTGGCTCGAGGTCTTTCACGCGCTGCAGTCTCTCCTTTATTCTAGCATCCGAATTTGCGAGCACAACACAACACATACTTACATTGCCTATCATGGCGACTCCAGAAGAGGCAGAGAGAATTGTCAAGGAGGTGACGGAATATTATGGATATCTGGACCATGACATGATGAACGATATCGGTCGTTTCAACGCCGACTATCGTCGAAGGATTGATGAAAACTGGCTCAAGATGGAGAACGCCGCATCGCATTCCATCAAAGTGTAAGTGTCTCCAAGACTATACACCATTCCTTCAAGCTCATAAAGTGTTTAGTTTAGCAAGAAACATCTACGGTAGCGGTGCTAGATTCGTGTTCGAGCTTCTCCAAAATGCCGAAGACAACAGCTTTAGAAAGGCTGATAAGAAGAAGGACCCCCCGTTTATCTCCTTCCAGGTTCACCCGAAACGTATTGTTGTCGAATGCAACGAGGACGGGTTCACTAGTTTGGATCTCAAGGCGATATGCTCCGTCGGAGAAAGCACCAAGACTGCGAAACATGGATACGTGGGTGCCAAAGGAATTGGTTTCAAATCTGTCTTTATCGCTGCATCCCGCGTGCATATCCAGTCCGGAAACTACTCGTTTGAGTTCCGACATAACAGGAACGACCCGGGCCTCGGTATGGTGAGACCCATCTGGGTGACGCCGACGGAAACAATTCCTAGTCCCCTCACTCGCACGACACTTTATTTGCATGACAAAGGTAATAAGGATGAGATAAAGCATCTTAAAACGGTTATTTCCATGCAGTTTGACGAACTCCAAGAGACTTGTCTCCTTTTCCTACGAAAAATAGGCAGGATTAGTGTCGCCTTTTATGATGGACAAGGAAATCTTCGGCGTTCGAAGCAGTTTACGAAGAAGAGGATCGACGACTATCGTGTCTCTTTAGAAACAACGGTATTTTCAGGGGACAAAGCAACTACGACAAGTCAGATATATCACATTACGAAGCAGTTAGCTACGGGTCTAGCGCAGAGTGAGAGTCGCGATGCTGCTGCTACTGAAGAGGCACGGAGAAGTCTCACCTCCGCGGAAGTTGTCTTGGCCTTTCCACTGAAAAGTGATTACCAGCCTTGCATTTCTACAAGAAGACAAGAACTCTTTGCCTTTCTGCCCCTCAGGACTTCGGACTGCAAGGTAAACAGTATACATCCCTCGATATTTAAGCAGCCGGCTGACCAATAGCTAGTTTCACATCCAGTCGGACTTTGATACGAACGCCAACCGGCAGGATATTGTGACTACGACAAGGAGAAACTTGGATATTCGTGATTGTATTGCCAAGACATTTCTGAAGGCAGTGTTGGAATTTAACCAACATCCTATTCTTTGCTATAGATGGCCACTATTTCTCCCGGTGCAGGATAGTGGGCATGACTCGTTCTGGTCCGGACTAAATGCCAAGATTCTATCTCTGGTTCAGGATACTCCTATTCTAAGATCGAGGAATAAGAGTGACTTGCGTCTGATTAGCGAAGTCGTGATAGCCTCGGATGGCATGACCGACGATGGAGGCATACTCTTACTCGATGATCCCGTCAAGGACCCATTCGTCTCGGCCAAGTACCCGTCCAAGGTGACTAAGCATTTGAAACCTTACGGACTAAGGGTAGCATCAGCGCCTCTATTTGTCAATCTACTGAAAAGAGATCTAAACCAGCATAATTCCAAAATGCGCGCTAATACAACTGCTGATGAGTGGCATTCCTCAGTAGCTCGGATGTGTTCCAAGATATTTGACAACGGCTGGAATGGAACCGCATTGCTTGAGTCACTTGAAGTTCTACCGCTGAGGAACGGTCACTGGAAAGCTTCTACGTCAGGCCCGTTCTATTTTCCAATGACAGGGGATACGGAAATCCCTAACGGCTTAGGCCTCAAAGTGATCAGTAAATCTGCCACTAACAACCCAGACCGGAGGGAGCTTTTTCAGCATCTCGGGGTAACAGAGGCTACACATGAAAGAGTTCGATCCACAATATTCTCTTCTTTCATTGATCGGCCAACCATGACGTTTCGTTTCACTTTTGACTGTCTCCGCTACTTGTTTCTAACACACTCACGTTCTAAGCACAAACGTGAAAGCTACAAGAGTATACGGCTTTTCACCGAAGAATACGAGTTGCATCCAACTCACAGCCAGATTATTTATCTGCCTGGAGATGAGTACCCTTTCAGTCCCGCCAGCCTTTTGAGGAATGCCCCTGTGCCGCCAAACTTTCCTGTCTACTTTCTACGCCTCGGGTATCTCTCTATCGAATCAAAGGATCAGGATTTTTCCTTGTGCTCTTACAAACGATGGCTCTGCGACTTTATCGGCATACACGAGAGGCTTAAAATCTTGTCAACCAACCAAAATGAGTTATCACAGCCTTTTCAGTACGTCCTCACGCATCGCCCAGCCAGGTTCCTCGGTCTTTTCGAACATCTTTGGCTGCTAGAAGGAAAAGAAGTATTGAAACACCAAACTGTTGTGTCTCAGATAAAAAAAGTCCCTGCAAAGGAGCTTTGCAAAGTTACATTTTCCACGAACCTCGAAAATACCTGGCTTCCTCTACCGGAGCTTAAGGATTGTGCTCGCCGGTACATGGAGCAACCAGAGCAGTTTCTTTTCCTTAGTCTTGAAGATGATCGCAATGATGAACAAATTGGCTCAAAGTGGAATTTCTTGACTAAATACTTTAGTGTTGGAAAGTCTAACGACTTGGAATTCCTTCTCGAAATACTCTACTGCATCCGGAGGTCTTGCACAATCCCGTTGTCTACTCTTCAATCACAAAGGGTTTTGGAGCTATACATAGCCATCTACGCCAAGCTTTGTGTCTCTTTGGTACCGAGTGTAACTCGGACAACAATTAAGTAAAGCTCAACTGGTATCCATAGCGTCATTTTACTGATACTTCGTTAGAGAGGCCTTTGAATGCTTTGGTGGCGACTCCATCCTCGTATCATACGATGATGAGGACCAGTCAATGTGGTCAGAGCCTGGAATTTGTGTCTGGGATGGGCCATCTGATCTGGTCTCTGTCTATTCCCTAAAGTCGGAATACAAGAGAAGAGGTTTGAGTAATGAAGACCTCGGCAACATTGGAAAGCTATTTGTTGGTACATTGGGCGTACGCAACATATCGGCTGAGCGTATTGTGTCGGAACTCAAGTGCCATTGGAACAGCTGTGCAGATGAGGAGGACGAGGGCCACATTTTGAGCCTCTACGAATATTTGCATAAGAGGCTCAAATCACGCCTAGAGTAAGGTTCGCTGCCGTGTATTCTTACAGTGTCAAATCGACAACACTGACCGGACTCTAGAGCTTCATTTGAAGAATCTCCACCCATATTTTTGAAGCAGCAAGATGGACCAAAATGGTACAAGACCTCTGACTGTTTGTGGTCTAGCACAGCGCCAATCCGCGGTAAAGTCACGCTTGATGAGACTTACGAGGACCTCAAAGCACTTTTCGTGGGAAAGCTTGGCGTCAAATCGCTCACAATGCAGATGGTCTACGATGAGCTGCGACAGTCTCCTGAAAGTAGCATAGAAGACATCAAGGTTGCTCTATTCTCTTTCAACGACTTCCTTCAAAGCGAAATTGGCAATTGGGATCCAGAGCCTATCAAAATAGCAAAGATATTTCCTGTCGTCTATCCTGATGGGACTACCTCATTGCGGTCCATGGATGTGGAATTTGCAATAGCAGATCGGGATAACCTACGTTCTAAGTTCTCTGGCAAGATTGCTCTTCTGGACTTTGACTTAGAGGATGTACATCGACTAAGACCATTATTTACCTGGCTGAAGATTCAACAGCGATACCCATCTACGTGTGTCGTTGAAAGAACAGGAATTTCAGGGGATTCAAGGCTGCCGATCTCTTCACCCAAAAGAGACTTGTCTCTCAAAGCCTATCAAATATGCCGGTACGTGTAGTCACTATCAATCCTAACCACTACTAATGAGCAATAAATTTCAGAGTCGCGGCCACATTCAGGAGTCCGCGCTTCCAACATGGTGAACGGGATCTTTACAACCAGCTGCGTGCTATGAAGGTCTTGGAGGTTGAAGGGATCTTCTCTGTTCTGAGACTGAGTCAGAATGGCAGAAACTATGAAGCGACACTCTCGACAGCCAGTGAGCATATTGATGAGCCAGCTGGAAATCTTACCATCTACGTCCCACGGGATCGAAGAGCGCAGGAAATCTGTTTTGGATCAGTCCTCCCTAGGAAGTTTGCAGCTTGGCTCATGCGTAATCCGCATACTAATATTGATGGCAATGTGGAGGTCGATACCATCAACGCCCTCACTTCGATTTTCGCCAGCGACCGTGCCGTTTTGGACGAGATTCTTCAAGATCAGGGCATGATACAGTTGCAGTTTGAAGATCCAGACGAACATTTGAATCAAGACGAAATGGGCGATGAACAGGGCCACGATATTCATGCATCTGATTCGACCCCAGATCCTGGTTATGAGATTTCTGACCTGGTTTTCACCCCAACTCATTCATCAGTGAACGATCCGTCAATTTTACCATCGGCGGTGCCAGATTCTGAAATCGAAGATGGGTCTTCGGAAACTGAAGAAGAGATAGTCGAGATCCAAAGTAGCACATCCCATGAAGTTCGTCGAGGCGATGGAGGTATTACAAGGCCCCTCCGTCATCACTCACCTCATGGCAGACCTTCCAGCCCAGAGCAGTTGAGTATCCGCCGCCTAATTCCTTCATATCCAGCTTCCCACGCGACCGAGGACCAGCGATATCGAACGATCCTCGAAAGAGTCATCGCGGCAGCTCGATCTGCCAACTTTCCATCGGGTGGAGCATTTGACCTGAATGGTCTGCGAGATGCCTTACCTGACTTTGGGGAACTGAATTCGTACCTGAGCTATGATGGGTTGGATGTGTTGAGTAGGTTCCGATCGACAAGCCAACTAGAACGCGATAAGAAGATCGGAGCCGCTGGAGAACTCTTCGTAAGTAGCATGATCAAAGTGACACAGATCATGAGACTAAATTTTCATTTACAGGTATTTGAGCTGTTATCGAAGCTTGACCTACCGGGCTGAGGCCCCGGGAACTGGCAAAGTACTATAAGAACATATGCAAACATTCATCCGGAGTGCGCCGATCTGACTCACTGGCCTAATCGCGAGACAGCAGACCTTGTGTACCCGGATACTCAAGGAGACCTGACACGCATTTTGGCAGACGCCGAGATTCTTACAGGCGATTGGTCTACAAGACGGCCCAGATACTACATCGAGGTGAAGACAACGACTGGACCGTGCAGAACACCATTCTATATGAGTGGAAACCAATACCGACTGGTAAGCCTTCTCGCTATGCATTTCGTAAACAGGAACTAACGGTGCACAGATGGAACGTATTCACTACAGTTCGGACTTTTCAGAAGTCTACATCATATTCCGTGTTTATTTCTTGCTTGATAGGTCACAGATTAGTTACTGTGTGTACCCTGATCCAAAGCGACTTCAAGATGATGGGCGACTCATTTTCACGGGAACTACATGGTCAGTGACTCCTGGGCTACAACCATAGTGTCTCTATAGCAATCTATAGCATAAGATCGGCAAATGACGAAGGACAAATTGATCCTACTAAGTATTTATGAATTGGAAAAGTCTTCGATATGAATGTAGCTGTGACCAGATATAAAACTTTATTTCTGAAATAGGATAGCGTGGATGTAAAGTTCAGCTGAAAGTAAACTACAAGGGTGGTATGATAGGGGTTGACGTTCACTAGACAACCCTAGCAATGGCAGACTGATCACATTTTTCCATGTGAACACCGCCTGCCTGCCCCCCCGACCTGAAATCTCATCAGTCGAGATAGTATGATTTTAGACACAGACAAAAAATACATAGCGCTAGGGTTTATTATCCAAATCTCAGTTCTTGTGGCCCCACCATTTAGACTTGATGCTATTCCTCCATTATGCAGTGACACCTCGGTCACTAGCCGGATACACCCGACTGTCGTCCCAAAAGTAGTAGCCGTGGCTCAAGGGATTACTCAGTCCTCCTATAGCTCCAAAATGATGTCTCAGTCGGAAACTTATCCCCTCGAAAACATAGCGTTTCAGTGCACCTTCGGGAGATGCGAGAAACCTTGCTTCCAGTTTTGCTAGCTGGAAGTAGCTTGAGAGCACATAGTTCTGCAGCTCTTCCTCCTTCATCTGTTGCAAGTTCTGCAGCACGGCGTAGCCACGCGAGCAAAGAGACACAATGTATCGAACTTCTTGGTCTTCAGTCCTGCGTAAGAACATCGATGTTGGATTCTCCTCAGGGCTTAGCAATGTCGGTGACTTGGAGGGATCTTTCTGGAGCTGGTGTGAGACTCGGTGTACCAGCGTTCTGAACTTATCAAAGACAAACGCTAACATCGAGTTGAAATAGCTACTATCAAGAAATCCTCGAATTCCAGTACCAAAATAGTACCAGGGGCGCACAGAATACTCTGTGAGTGCACTGATATCAATGATCTCATCGCAGTCATCAACATACGAGACAAGCCGCCAAGATTCATACAAAAAAAAAGCCACGCTCAAATGCGTAAGTCTCTTGTTCGGAAAGGACTAATGGTCTGTCAAGATCGGGGTACTTGGAAGCTGGAGGCCTTAGAGGCCCGACCTCTGCTATCCACAATAGCAATCTTTTCCATGCTTCCTTTGAATATTCTGTGATTAAATGATCTGCCTCTTCCCTCTGGCGGTAGAGCTCGCAGATCAAGGGTAGGTGATTCCCCCAGTGCGTGTAGCACGGAAGATCAGAAGGAAGCAGAGCAAAACGCCACAAATCACGGGCCTCTTGTCGAACCACAGGCTTTCCCAGCAACCGATATGGGAGTGTTTTTGTAACCAGGGCCATATGATTTGCGGACCCCATGGGTGAATACGAGGCTTTCAGTCCGTGGATGGTAGGTGCCATTATGGTCGAACGGTGGGCAAGGTAATGCTGGAACATGACGGGCGATGCGTTGATGGCGGATTGGAGGTCTATCGGAGATGAAATCGACTGCATGATCATGATTATTACTTCACTTGGAAGCATCTCCAGCTTTGGTGCAACATGCATGTTGAAGAACTGTTAAAAAGAAATGTTGATAGAAATTCGAGAGAGATCCTTGGTGGGGAAATGCATTGTATTTATACCTGGTGAGGAGGAAGCTTTGCATTGCGAATTTCATGGTTTTGTGCTCCAAACAGTCAAACTTTTCACCGTAATATACAACCACATTAATTGGTAGACACATTCATGTCGACGTGGATTCTGTTCGGAACCTTAACTTTAGGAAACGTGAATCTTTCAACAAGAAAGACTAATTTTGGGCACACTTATGATTTTATTCACTTTCCCACTTTGAGAGACGATCTTTGAATTATCTTTTATTCCGTTATTTCTGTCGCTGGCTCGTTTGGTTAATTTTTCCCTGACTTTTTGATGAGGTGTTGTATAGGTTAGTAGAAATCCTCTTATCGCGATACAGCCATCACTGATGCACAGCAAATCACGAACGACGAGACCCACTATATCACAGCCCCTACAGCAGAGGCGGAGGATGATCACTAAACTAAAGCAGCACGTAACCTTCAACTCCAAAAATAACTTTGCCAAAATTCCACAAACTCCAAAAAATGGCCTCGTCCTCATCCAAACCTCCAGAGAACACGCTCATGCCATTTTCGTGCTATCAGTGCCGGTACCGCAAACTGAAGTGCGATCGTTCGAGCCCAGGATGCAGCCGCTGTTCCGCCACCGGCACAAAATGCCAATATCCCTCTTCGCGAAAGAAGCCTGTGATAACAGCGACACGACCACGGGTCAAAGAACTCGAGTCGCGACTGGGTAAGTAAGTAGCAAAAACTTTGAGCGATGCTGATGGGAATAGTCGATCTCGAGTATCGGCTCAAGGCGACGCAGGAGGAGGGATATCAATCGTTCAGGCCGTTTCAACCGTCGGAGAATCAGGTTACTGAGACGGGGAGATATGAACAGCTTCCTCCACAGGAAATTATTGAGGAGTTGTGAGCGCATATTACCAAGGGAAAAAGTAAGGATCTGACAGTTTGCAGGACGAATGTATTTTTTACAAAGGTCCATTGCGATGCGCAGTACATTCACCCTTCGCGATATCTCGCGTCCCTATACCTTCCACCGCATATGCAACCACCCATGTGTCTTCAGTATATAATCATGGCCCGAGCTGCACTCGTTTCACCGCCTCACAAACATCTCGCTGATCCCTTCTATCGAAGAGCGAGGTACTATCTTGAAGCTGATGAGCAAAAGGTCAGTCAATCATAAATGTGCATAACGGACGCCAACTCACAACATCAGGGCGAGGGAGAATATTTCGTGACTCTGGCTCACACACAATGTTGCGTCCTCATGTCCCATTTCGAGGTGCAAAATATGTGGTTCTCCAGATCATCGATGAGTACATCAAAGTCTGTGCGTCTGTCGCAGATTCTAGGCCTCCATCAGCTCGATGGTAAGAATGACTGGAGACGAAATGCAACGCTACCGGAACCCAAGGACTGGTGTGAACTTGAAGAGAGGCGAAGAACACTATGGGCTGTATTTTGCACTGATAAGCATACGAGCGGTACTACGGGTTGGCCAAGTCTGATGGACGTCAACAAGGTATGATCTATAGGAGCTGAGAAAGTACGTGACTGATGCCTTGCAGATCAGCACGTTATTGCCAGCCTCAGATGAATCATTTCAACTTGGCATGGAGGAGCCTTCAGCGTCACTGCTTCAAGTTCTGGGCGGTGACAACTCTCTCTGCTCATCATTCGGATATCGCATCATGACGACTCATCTCTTCCATGAGTGTCTCGACCATACTTACCAAGATCATCAAGCCTCCGACCTAACAGATATACATAACAGCCAGTTCTGGAAACGACATCGCGATCTCGACACAAGTCTCTCAACGGCGTTTATCACGCTCCCGGAAACGCTTCGTGGGTCACATACCCAAGAAGCCACCAATATAAACCTCCAACTTCACACCGCGTCGATATGCATCCATCGCGTCGGTGCAGTCCAAGCCAAGAAGCACAACATCTCGGCTGATGTACTGTCCAACACACAGGCGCGACTCGTGCCCTCTGCTGACGCGATATTTAACATCATCGCGTCACAGCCTGACGTGACAGCCATGTTCGGCAAACCCCTCGTTACATTTGCAGCATACATGGCGACATATGTGTTTCTAGAAGATTATGTGTCGGCACAGAATCGCACCAGCGAGATGAAGATGACAGCGCTTATGGATCTCATGATCACGATTGGACGTGAGAACCTTGTTACTGCATCGGCAGCCATACAAATGGCGCATGAATTACGGAAGACCGGGATTGATGCATCTGCTGTTGACAAGGTCCAGGATCTTATGGATGAGAGAATCGCAAAAGGGCCGCTTTTAGGACAGCAGAATACGGCTGAGGGCAGCGTCTTGTTCTGTCCATTCGATGGACCTTCTGGACCTGCGCCACCTGGTGTACCAAGTGAGATACTGAGGGGTAACCTCAGCGGGTTTCCTTAGCTTTGGAAATCCCTGTCATTGGCGAAGTGTAATTCGCTGCGGATATAACAAAAGCACATTTGGGCAATCATTCGCATTGCGCGACATAAACGTGAACACGAGGTGACACCTGTCAATCAGCGACCAAACCCATATCGGGTAATCAATACACAAGGAACTCACAGAGTTGACGCAAGTGGCGAACGGCCAAGCAAGGAACTCGATCCGTGATAATGATTGGCCTGTCACGAATAATCATTGACAAAGCCTTTGCCATTTAGAGAAATGGATAACCGATGCTAGCAGTGGAGAATTGCTGCGCATCACGCCGACGGCCGATATTTTATACCTGCTCCGCATTGCATTTGTACATTTCCCTAGATATGCAAGACATTTCTGTTCGTTTTTGACAGTCATTTTTCTCGGTAACCAACAGAACGTTGCATTTAAAATGGCGCCTATCTATAAAGTTGCTGTAATTCAATTTGAGCCAAAGGTTTGTTTCTGGACGTCATTAATGTAACTGCACTGATGTAACTGATGTCATTGACTTACACGTTATCAGGCCATCGTGGTCGAAGAAAACTTTGCAAAAGCGGAAAGTTACCTCCGCTCAGCCGCCTCAAAGGGATGCGATATCGCGATTCTCCCTGAATTCCACTTAACATCATGGGTCCCTGAGCATCCCGAATTCATATCGGCCAGCAAGGCATCAACAGGATATCTCTCAAAATATCAGGCTCTAGCTAAAGAGCTCAACATCAATATCGTTCCCGGCACAATCTGCGAAGTTCATTCGGTTCTTGATTCTAGAGATGAGGAGCTCCGCAACATGGCGTACTTCCTTGCCGCAGGAACGGGCGAGATTTGTGGCTCGTATCAGAAGAAAAACCTCTGGCATCCCGAGCGTCCGCATTTAACTTCTTCGACACATACGCCTCATACTGCATTCGACACGCCGCTCAAACACGCCGATGGAAGACCCGTACGCGCTGGCATGGTGATATGCTGGGATCTAGCATTCCCCGAAGCTTTCAAAGCGCTCGTCAACGACGGCGCTGATATCATACTCATACCATCATACTGGTTTATGGATGACAATGGCGAAGAGGGAGCCGGTCTCAACCCCGATTCTGAACGCATCTTCTTGAATTGTACTCTCACAGCGCGAGCGTTTGAGAATACGGCTGCGATTGTGTTTTGCAATGCTGGAGGACTGAGTTGTGTTAATATGCCGATTTTGGGAGCACTGGGAAGAATCGAGGTCGGCGAGGAGAAGATGGAGATTGTGGACTTGGACTTGGATGTTTTGAGGGTTGCGGAAGAGACTTACAAGATCAGGATGGACATGAAGAGTGAGGGATGGCATTACAAGTATAACATGAACTCGGGTTCAAAGGCATAGAAGGGATATATATCCTTTAATTACGTATATAGAACAAATCTGGACTTTACTCTCGTCGATGGCATATGTACAAGTGTATAATACCGTTCACCAAATGATGAATAGGGCTTGACAGATTCTGGTCATTATAGAACGGTTTGGTATCTCGCTGACTCATCAAATTATCAAGCGTCATTGGTCTAGGGGTTAGGATTCAACTCTTCCATTGAGAAAAGTTGAGGCTCGGATTCGAATTCCGGATGACGCACGATCACTTTGTTTTTGTTTTTTGTTATTGTTTCCTCTATAATACTGACTCTGTTTCTGCCCACCTGGCTTCTTTCAGCCCATTTGGGTGATTGCCAAGAGTGATCTCGGCTTCAATGCCGTGGGCTTGCTCTTCCCTTATCATAGAGATGTCCTGTATGCCTGTTTTGCAAGACACTTGACTCGGAATTGCTGGGGGAATACTGCTAACCCTAGTTTCAACTCAATCGTGAGATCTGCCGAGATGGTATGATCTGACAGTTCAACGTTTTGACTCCCGATCCTGATCGATCATGTCTCAGACCACGCATCGACTTTCGCGTCTGTGCAATGGAGGCGGTGACGAGTTTCACTCAAAAAATATGATCTGATCCCCTGGAGTCGCCCGATCGAGAAAAGGCTGCATGAGGCTGAATGTGTCATGCAAGGGAGGACACAGATTCAGGACTACGCAGCTGAAAGGTGATCCACAAACGAGATATCATTGGTTATGAAGGAGGAGTATGGATCATGTTATTTCCTTCGGGTTACACCAACGAGGGGCTTTTGCTCCGTTTTTCATTTCAATAGTCTCCGTGTTACACACCTTGAGCCTCTTCAAAATGTGACTTGTCCACCACGGAGCTCACTACGTAAAGCCATCCCTTGGGCGCGATAGGCAGCATGGATGAATGGCCTCAAAAATACATAGTATTGATGTCAGAGGTAACCATTTGCAAGGTATTATAGAGGTCCTGAAGTCTTGGTATGAGCTCCGGTCAAAAAGAGGTGCTTGATTGAACAAAGCCTTCTGCAGCACAACCGAACTACCTCGTCGTCCTGTATGGGATGTCATGCAATCCCTGCAACCTTAGCATGCTGACAGTACCGTTGTTGTGAAGATTGTCTCAGTCCCATCGCCAACAGAGACATTCAGAAGTCGTCTCTTGACGACCCTGCATCCGCGCAAGCCCCAGTTAAGTGGTCAATTTATTGTCACACGACAGCATCTATTTACATGGTATAGCCACAGTAACTACGCAAAAGGTCCAGCCCTTTGAATACGAAGAAAGGCATCCAATAAGGGTCAGGCGGCCTAGGGCAGATGCAAGTAGTAATTTAGAAGTGATACAGGGCTGAGATGCCACCGTCACTGCTCTGCGACGTGGGGTCCAAGGAATGTGATGGTAGGTTGTGCCAAAAACATATCACAGAAACCCAATCGTGTACAGCCAGCCGGTCGCTTATAACCTGGCGGAGCTTTCCGTGTGATTGGGGATTTTCAGGTTATAGTTGATGTCTCCATGTTTCACCGATCTGCCGAGATCCGGGCTTTACAACGTGGCGCTGCCGTAATTTAAACTGTAGCGTCCGTCAAGCCTAAAGTCTGAATGTCTCGGTTACCTCAAAGGCCGAATGTAATGGGCAAGAGTACGCTGCCCGCCCTACCGCCGAAGGTTAGCGGCCTGACAAACTATAGTGGTTGCAACCCGTCTTACTACAAATCCAATCACCACCAGATGCTGATTATTTGTTACAAGGTTGGCCTGCTTTGTATCAGGGAGGGATTCCAACATAAACAGTATTTCAGAGGATGTGCGACTGTGTTGCTGTAGCCAGTCTTTGGTGGCTTAATGTCAGTCCCTGGATTAGGCGGACACCTCACAAAGAGTGAATGTTGATTCAAGATCAACACACTCATTCGCTTAAATATACTAAGAGCGGAATACAAGGCCTGTATTGGTTTATCTTAGACGGCACCAGTAAGACCTATCATGTCTGTTTGGACATATCGACACTGTTCAACCCTGCCAGCTGAAATCAGTGCTTAGAATTTCACGGCAGATGCTAAATATACTTTTCAGGATTGCTTCTTGGGCACAGCCTGGGTCCAGTAACTTGCCAAGAAGCTCCCCTTGATGTCATTGCCCATTACCAATAATACCTGGGCGCCTCCCTGAATATCAGGGATTTTAAAGCCGAGACCCCTGTCAAGTGCTCCCAGTCACAGATATTGCACATATACATCCCAATGTGGCGATTGGAGCTGGAGAGAAAACGAAAAGAGACGTTCAAAAGTCTAATACGTAGGTGGCTGCTAGACGGTGATATCCGTTGCATGATATGATGCCAGTTGACTCAGCCCCAAACGTTGACAGCAGAACACTTCAGCCACTACGGAATGCAGCTTTGATTCATGCTGTTGGTTCTATTAGAAAGGGGAGAACTCTTAGTCTTGGCCCCGAGACCGTACTTTCAGTCCAATGACTCCCTGATTTTGTGTCTGTCATCTCTCGTCGTCGAATTCAAGTTTAACGAATCCTTGAATGTTGATTACTGATGATAATAAACTGTGAGGAGAAAGAATCTACCGGAATCCAAGACTCACATCGACTCGGCGTGAGCATCCGCCCCCTTATCTCGATGATTTCGCGCCAGCAAGGCTTTCAATCGATCACAAACAGCCCAGGCCTGGATCCAAACCCATTAGCGGTGTTTTGTTTAGGATCTCATTGTTACAAGGCATGTAGCACTGCGCCTTGGTCGATCTGGAATCGTCTAAGCTGCCACGACTCCAAGAGCCCTCCTTAGACCACATACCAACGAAGGCATCACACAAGCCAGTCTAATCAAACATTGATTCAGGATGTATCGAGGACCGGTATTTCACAATGTTGCTTGTTGCGAGGACTCCGCTGCTTGTTTATTGTAAGGATAGGTATGTTGAGGTGCGTCTGGTCAACAACTACCGAGATATATAGGACGAAGCTTCATCGACTCTGTAGCTCAACATCATCAACCAAAAATCAATAAACCATTCCCTAATAGCCATGACTCACTCTCTGATCTGGCGAGCCCTAGTGGCTATCACCCTGACGGGTTCAGCTTCTGCATATCCCCATCAAACATACCCAAACGTCGTCCCACGTGCCGGATGCCCCATCCCTGACATCTGCACCTGGGGAAGTTGCACCAACACCACTATTGGTCTTGATCCCCGAAACTGCGGCAAGTTCGGTAGCTCTTGTGAGCCCTCGGAGATCTGTGTTGCCGGCCAGTGTCTCCCGCTTGATCTCGGTACATACGATTGTCCTACCGATTGCAAGCCTGGTCAACTGTGCAACAATGGCGAGTGTGTCTCCATCGAGATTGCAGTCGATCCTCTTCACTGTGGAGGAGAATCCTGTAATTCGTCTTCTCTCTGCATCAATCAACAATGTCAAAAGCTCGACATCGGCTCAGATCCTGCATCCTGTGGCCCTTCCAATACCAAGTGCGGTGCGGGAAGCTGGTGTCTCTACGATACTTGCATTCCTTTTATCCTCGGCACCAACGTTCAGGCCTGCGATGAGAGAACTTCGTGTTCTCTCGGTACGTCTTGCGAAGATGGCTACTGCCGACAAATATTCCTTTCGACCGATATAAATAATTGCGGAGAAGATTCCAAGGCCTGCACTGCTGGGCAAGTTTGCGTCTCTGGGCAATGTCAGTCCCTTGATGACGAAGATGCAAACCAGAACTGTGACACACCCTGCGAACCTGGCTCACGGTGTATGAGTGGTGAATGCATATCGATCAGTATCTCGACCGATACTTCTCAGTGCGGCAGTAGCACAGAACCATGTGGCAAGGGACAAGTCTGTGTCTCTGGGCAGTGTATTAGCAACCTGGTTCACCGGGAGAGCATCCCCAAGACAACTTGTAGTCCTTCTACGCGTCTAGGGGGATTCACTTTCGGGCCAGGGGGATCTTCAGACCAGAACAACAATGGAGGCGGTCGAGAAGGTTCTCCCGATGGCGCCACTTCGGGACAGGGCGGGAATCAGCAAGGAGGAGACTCTACGTCAAGCAACAACGGCTCTGGCAGCTCTCCTGGTGACACTTCAGGCGGAGGTGGCCAGACTCAAGGTGGCCAAGGTGGCCAAGGCGGTTACCCGGGCGGCTTCCCGGGCTCACGTCCAGGTTCCAACTCTGGTTCTGGGAACAACCAGGGTGGCCCCGATAACTTTGGCGCTGGTCGTCCTGGTCCTGGAGAGAATGGCAACGGATTCCCATCTTCTGCATGCGAGCCAGAGTGTGCATCAAACTTCATCTGCGTTAGCGGAGAGTGCCTCTCGGTATCGGACCCCTTATCTTGCGGACCCTCCACCAACCCCAACCGCCTCTTCCATCGTCAAAACGCTGTTTGTCCACCAGGCTATGCCTGTATCGACGATCGTTGCGTCCGAGTAGATGGGCCCATCAGCTGCGGCGGCTCTATCTGCCCTGCCAACTATGCCTGTATCCAGGAAGCGTGCGTCCCTCTTGGAGATCCCACCGACTGCGGTGGTGAGACGTGTGCCAGTGATGAGATCTGCTTGGGTGATACCTGTGTATCGAACCCGGCATTGGCTAGCTGTGTTGGTGTTGTCTGCCCTCCCGGACAGGTATGCCAGAATGGAGACTGTATTGCCGCCGGTTCACCTGGTGCAAACGGTAATCCTCAGGGCAATGGTGGTAGACCCGGCGGTGATGGTGGTTCCTCCGGTGGTGGTTCCGGTAACGGTGGTTCCAATGGAGGCAATGGAGGATCTGGCAACGGTGGAAGTGGCAATGGAGGCACAGGTGGTGGATCTAATGGAGGATCGCCAGGCGGTAACGGTGGTTCTCCAGGTGGTGGTTCTGGAAACGGACCAGACAGCGGCAACCCGGAAGGAAACGGTGGCCGCCCTGGTCCGGACCTTGGCGGCGACGGCTCTTCTACTGGCAACGGTGGTGGAGATGGTGGTGCCACTGTAACCTCACCACCACCAGGCACTGCTACGCGCTCGGGAGCTGGGAATCTTCCAGGTTCGACAGCATCCAGTGCTGATGCCAGCGACGATGCGCCTATCGTCAATCCTGGTCCTGGCACGACTGGCACCGATGGACTCTCAGCTTCAACCACTAGCATTCGAGGTGGTCCGGATGGTAACGGTGGCTCAACTGCATCAGGTGGCGGTGGTGGAGATTCTCCTACTGAGACCGACGCTGCTACGTCTGATGCAGGACCCATCGTCGGGCCTGGATCTGATTCAACAGACCTTTCGGGTGCCAGCACGAGACTAACAGGTGGCGCAGAAGGTGGGGGAGGCTCTGAGATTACGCTCAGCGGAACTGCTTTGCCCACTGACACCAGCGGGGAGTCTCCTACCGACGGCGGTAGCTCCGCGGCCGGCGGTGCTGGTACCGATACGACGGACATTGTCAACCCTGGAGCACCTACTACTGACGGAAGTGGTATCTCAGCTTCTGAAACTGGTGCCACTGATTCTTCTGGTGCTACTGACTCCGCTGGTTCTACTGGTACCAATGTGGATGGACAGACAGAGACAGCCTCCACTACTCAAGCCGCAACTGCTGCGCCAACGGAAACTACACCGTGCTCCACAGACGACGATTGTCTTCTCAATGTCGCTCTCTGTGTTTTCAACGGCCTCAACATCTGCACCTGCGTCGACGGAGTCTGCACGCAGCAGCCTGGAGGTCCTGAAGGTTCGGGAGTCACCGGCTCTGACCTTGGAACTTCAACTGCAGGCAACGGAGAGCCAACTGATAGTGCTGGTTCGACAATTACCGATGGTGCTGGAGAGACTGCTACTACAACGGGAGACCCGGCTGCCACATCGGCAGTGTCGTGTTCGGCAGGTGACGATTGTCTGGCTAATGCTGTCTTTTGTTCAGATGGCCTACTCAACCTATGCATTTGCGTTGATGGCATTTGCATTCTCGACCCTGCTTTGGCTTCAACCACTGATGTCAACAACGGACAGACGACGACCGTCCAGGATGCCACAACCACCGACGCAGAAGCAGCCGCAACATCATCAGCCGTTGCTTGTACGACAGACGCTGACTGCTTGGCCGATCTTGGCCTTTGTGTGGATGGTCTACTCAATCTCTGCGTTTGCGTAGATGCTGTCTGCATTCTCGATCCAGCGTTAGCCACTACCACTGCAGATGCTACTGGCACAGCGACCCAGCCAGCTCCAACGGAGACGACTGCGGTTGCTTGCTCCACGGCCGATGACTGCACTGTCAATGTGGACCTCTGTATCATTGGGGGGCTCAACCTTTGTGTCTGCCTCAACGGAGTCTGCGTTGCTGACCCAGACGATCAGGAAACAACCGCTGCGAACCCTACCGCAACGAACACTGGACCAGGAGCTACTTCAACAGCAGTAGCTTGCTCTACAGCTGATGATTGCGCTGTCGATGCGGATCTATGCCTCGATGGATTGATCAACCTTTGCGTCTGTCTCAATGCTGTCTGCGTTAATCCTGGAGGAGGTAATGACCAGACGACTACAGAGACTGGTGCTGGTGGAGGACCTACTACAGCGCCGGTAGCTTGTACTACCGCCGATGACTGTGTCGCTGACGCCGATCTCTGCTTAGACGGCCTGCTGAATCTATGTGTCTGTCTCAACGCCGTCTGCGTTAATCCTGGAGGAGGTAATGACCAGACAACTACAGAAACTGGCGCCGGCGGAGGACCTACTACAGCTCCAGTGGCCTGTAGTACCGCCGACGACTGTGTTGCTGATGCTGATCTCTGCTTGGATGGCCTACTGAACCTATGTGTCTGCTTGAACGCTGTCTGCGTCGTAGCAAACCCTGGGGGTGATCCGACTGAAACAACTGATCTGCCGCCTGAAAACACAAGAACTCCATGTTCCACCAACGGTGACTGCACAGCTAATGCGGCACTCTGTCTGGACGGGTTGCTCAACATTTGCGTTTGCCTCGAAGGTCTATGTATCGTCAACCCCGTCGTCAATCCGACTGAAACGACTGCTCCAGTACCGACAGAGACCGCTACAACTTCGTGCAACACAGCCGATGACTGTACCGCCAATGCTGGCCTCTGCTTAGACGGGCTTCTCAATATTTGCCTCTGTGTCAATGCAGTTTGTGTACCGTCGCCAGGCGGTGGTGGTAACAATGGCGACCCTTGCACTGTCGACTCTGATTGTACTGCTGCCGGAGCTATATGCCTCGACAGTGGTGTCTGTGGACCTGATCCAGGAAACACGCCAACTTCGTGTACTACAGCCGACGACTGCACTGCCAACGCCGCTCTCTGTTTAGATGGTCTGTTGAACCTCTGCGTTTGTCTAAATGCTGTCTGTGTACAAGCTGGAAACGGTGGCGGCGATGGTGATACCTGTACAGATAACGGTGACTGTACTACCGCCGGGTCTATTTGTCTTGACAGCGGCGTCTGCGGACCTGATCCAGGCAACAATCCAACTTCATGTACTACGGCAGATGATTGTACGGCAAACGCTGGCCTTTGCCTCGATGGGCTTCTCAACATCTGCGTTTGTCTCAACGCTGTCTGTGTACAGGCCGGAGGGGGCGGCGGAGGAGGTAATACTGGCGATGCATGCACCGGCAACGCTGACTGCACCACCGCAGGAGATGTATGCACCAACGGCGTATGTACAGCAGCAGGAGGCGGAGGCACAGACGCTTGTGTTGACGCCAACGATTGCCTCCTCTCAGTCAATCCTCTTTGCGCTCTTGGTCTTTGTGTCTGCGTCGATGCAGTCTGTACTACTTCTCCCGATGTTGACGAATGTACCTCCAACGCAGGTTGCAGCGCTGGAGCTACATGTCAAAATGGTGTTTGTGTTGACAACACCGATTGCACTGGTGCTGCAGATTGTCTCGCTAACCTTGATATTTGCGTTCTTCCGGGGGTTTGTGCTTGTGTCAACGGTGTCTGTGGACTTGTTGGTAATGGACCTACGCCGGAGTGCACTGCTGCTGCGGATTGTCGAACTCTGCCCAGGTGTCGTCTTGGATTGTGTCTTTGTGTGGCTGGACAGTGCGTTCTCGGGTAATGAGTTGGTGATTGGAGTTGGTGCAGCGACGGATGCATTCATGTACAATTCTTTGGTGGTTTGGTCTGCATGTTTTTAATAATCCTAATTCTAATTTCGATTCTTTCCCATGACTGATGCTTCTTGAATCCCGCGTTTTTGAGCATTTGCTGTGTTTTGTCTGTCCATCGCAGCGTGATCACAACTCTTTATTTTGACTTCTTTGAATCTTTCTATGCAATAAGCGTATTTTAATAATTTATCCAGAACCCCAATGTGTTTGTAATGACCTGTAGCTATTGTTAAATATCATCGCAGGTCCGTTCCAGGGTAGCATTGTTTTGTTCCTGGGCACGATTATTTATGCATCGATGTGAGTCTGCATAAATAGCACTAGAGTTTCATAATATCAGCTTCTGCCTCATCGTGAATAATGATGTGGCCCTGAGCTTGTACCATTTGAGTACCGTTGGCAAGGACCACTGGAAATAGAAAAAACTTTCCTCGTATCTAGTATTACAAATATAATAAAGTAATTTTGTTGATGCGACAAGATACAGTCAATAATGTTCAGATCCTGTCTTCTTGTTCAAGTACCCCTGAACAGTATGAGAGACATGTTTCTACAAATGCATCAAGTCTTTCCCCCCTTCATCAAGAAACCCTGGCGTACGATCTCTGCCAGCCCTTTCGCCTATCTATGAGATCTTTGAAGTTATATTAACCAACACGGGCTAATGGGTGGTGTAAAGTATCAGATTGTTCGATGTGACAGCACCCGCGAGGAGAAATGATCCACCTCAAAGACATGGAGACGGGAATCACGGTATTCATTGTAATCTGCCTTAATGTTGGTGTTATGGATTATAGTGCACAGGGTGTGAAAGGAGTGAATGATCGGGATGGATCCGGCACCCTTGACTTGCCAACCATCTAGACTACTGTAGAACAACTAGTTAGGTGGATAAGGAGTGAAGACACTGGGCCAATACTATCGAGAGGAAATCTTTCCCATGGTGTGGCATTTGCCTGAATTCAATGACCGGGAGCCATACAGCATTGTCTCGCGCAACTTTCTGGTTCACAGCCTGTTGAAGCTGGCGGAGTCTCGGAGCTGTCGCCGTGCGAATCAAGAAGGGTATCTCTATGCTGGAAAGAATTAAGCGGCATAATAGTTCATAGAACTTGTATTCTTCCGGGGGAGGCCTTGGAAGTGCTCTCCTTTACGAACTCGGGAATAGGGCGAGACCGCTTTGTCCGTCGACAAGATACTGCGTTCGCCAACTTGATGGCTTGGAAAACAGGGCGAGAATGAGGCCAATGCAAGGAGGTTGCTTTTTTATCCTGGCTCTTCTCACCTTCCATTTCTGGACGTGCTCTCCTGGCCAAGTATTTCAATCGATTATCTCCCGTTGGTCCAGCGGTAGCTCCCCCGCTGGCATCCCCCCGAGTGGTACACCGTGCTACGATGCAATCTACCCCAGAATTCTTCTGGGGGCTACGAGCGACTGAATCATGTACTTCTTACTGACCACACTCTGCTGGTCACGAAAATCTGGTTGTCCTAGATTGACCACGGCCCAACGGGCTGGAGACTTCCAGATCACCGACTCAAGGAATCTGTGATGAACTTAAAAGCATTCACCATTACCTTCATTGGTAGCGATTCCTCTACAAATCTTGAAAGGAGTTAGCAGCTAGTTGTCCATCTACTGCGTTGTAGCATACTCCAAATGGTAGATATGCGGTTTCGTTGGGCGTTTAGGCAGCGGGCGCAGCAAGGTCTGCCCAAGAAACATATTTGCCTGCATGACTCACTCGTATTGGCGTTTTACATGACTCTATGATTCTTTGACATGGTCGTATTGGTTCGCGGTGAGATGGTCGGCATCGGCATGCATTATCGGAGTGGACTGGTGACTGTGTATCGATCTTGGTGGTTGTTCATTTCGTCTTGGTAGATACCGGTGGTTCATTACTTGCTCTTTCTGAAAGCCTTCCAACTCCAATCGCAGTTTATCCAGAGGCATTCGGTTTTGTTATATCTCTCAGCCGAGAAGCGTGATCGTTCGAAATGTCCTTGAGTGAATTGATGTGGAGTGGCATGTTTTACGCATACAGACTTATGCAAACGAAAGAGGGAATGAATGAATCAATTGAACAGGAACAAGTCAGACTTTTAAATAAAGATTTCAATCTTTCTTACACAGAAGTTACCTCACATTTATCGTATTTTGCGCGTTTCTTTGCGTCTAGCATTCAAAGAAGGGGGCCAACGATCACGCTGCGGATCCATAAGACGCAAAGACGCGCTCAAAACCAATCATAAGTCTGTGATTAACAAAGCTTGTCGCAAGGATATCGTCATGCGCCATTCTCTTGCTATTTGTGATATGTGATTCCCAGGATTCGCCTGAGAGCTACGGATATAATCGTAAATCTCGGGAGTATTTCTACCAGCTTGGCTAGTAAGCGGACGAGGCCATGTTACACGGGACTGAGGTTGAACTTGACTCTTAAAGTGCCATGTGTCTCTGCCTGATTGCATGTTTGCCACATCGCTTTGTTTATGGGCTGGCTGGCCTGGATCAAGGCTCTCTGGAAAGGAGCAAGGGCACTACGGAATCTCTGGTAGTTTTCCTCAAGAGAACAGATTCACACGGCCGTTTACAGATCTTAGAAGGCCGATAGCTTGATAGCTAGATACAGTGGGTGGTAGCCTCACCAATGTTCCTTGGGTAGAAGTTCCAGTCCAGCACGTAGGTCCAAGGCATATTAGCAAGCAGCTAAGCACCAACGAGTGGCACTGTGCTCATAATACTTTTTCAGCAGTGTTTACTTCCTCAGTACTAATTTTACTTGCAATTGGGTGCCATAAGAATGATACCTTATCCAGATGTAATGCAGTACAATCACGCTTGTCACTGAACGTGTTACTCATGTTGACCTCGGTGACGCTGTGCTTGTCTTGTGAGACACCACCATCTGTAGATCTTACGTGCTAAGGCCTGGGAAGTATGATTGGCTACGGAGTCATCGTCCGTGTCATAGTGATTGGCTACATCGACCATCGGACCTCCGTAGAGACATGATTGGTCAAAATCTAGGCAATCGATCACATCGCTTTCTGGAGCAGATACGGGCCACGGTAGGCTAGGTCGCTGCGGTCAACCGTGCGCTTGCGCTGTGCACATTTTCGCTTCATCTCGATTCGATCCTGGTAGCATTGGCCAGAACCAAGATTATACGTACGTGTTTCGATGCGCATCTAGGTACAATAAAAATGTTTTTTTTATTGTATCAAGTGATGCTGTCATATTCATTGTTTCTGTGCATTGGGCTCGAGCTGGCGATGGGGCGTCGGAGAACTCTCCATTGGCGGTCCATACCGGATATTGAATAGAACAAACCGATTTTTCGGGGCTGAACGCTGCCTAACTATTTAAAGTTGACAAAAGCATGTAAGATTGTTGGTGGCGGAACGAGAACATGCATATATGTGATTGTGCTACCATTCCGCTCTTAGCTGGTGTGTCTTTGGCTCATCAACAGCCTAACAAGCTGCAGTGGTCCTCGAGAAACAAATTCCTGTGACCCCCTGGTCCTGAACATCCACCAAGCGCCATGATATTTCCGGGGACCGTTGTAACATTGTGGCTTTTTAGCCCAGCCAATCTTTGCGTCGGGGTGGCCTCCGGGCCACAAAATGGATTGATAATGACAGGACCTCTGTCCACTAAGATCCCTTGGGGGATCCGTGTGGCGAGAAATGAGTTCAACGTTCGGGAAACAAGAGACGACTGCGATACGTGCGATCGCTGGGTGTCTGTGAGTCGTTCTCGTACTATGTATGGCCTTGTCCAGTTTTGTATTGACATTTCACGGTCGGATATGGTCATGCAGGCTAGATTTCACGACTTAATTTGATCCAAGGTAAGAAGCAATACAAGCGATAGAGTATAAATTTGCTTGTGGCTTTTGCCATTTAGCACTGCCAGTATTCCGTTGGTCTCTCACTGCGATACCTCCCAACGCCATTTGAACTCGTCAATCCCATAAAATCGCAGAAAAATAAGTCGTGGTGAAAAGAAGAAAGAAAGAAAAGACCAAGAAGTGCAGCATATCATCCCATCGTATTCGATATCTGCTCTTGGTCCTGTCAAATCGCACTGACTCCTCCGCTGCATTTTCATAAACAACCCTTTAAATCGCCGGCCGGCCCTTTATCGTATCGACTCGTCATGATCATCGTCCTCGTGTCTTTTAATCGTACATAGATACCCCGCTCAATTGTGTTGGTTGTATGGGCAAAGCGGCGGGGTGGCGTGGCTCTGTTTCCCCTCGCCCAAGTCTTGGATATATCGATGCGCTTCACTCGCAATAAAGTTTTGAATCAAGTGGCATTCGCAGTCGGTGTGTTGCAATAGCCTCATCTTGAGGTCGTAGACCTGCATCGTGAGTTCAGACACGCAGCTTGACAAGTCGCGGTTTACTCGCTCCATATCTTGTTCGTCGGCTCGAAGTTTCTTGGCGTCTTCGCGCTTCTTGACGCGGAATTTGTTGGAGGCGATGCGGTTTCTCTCCTGGACCTTTTTGCTGTGCTCATCGAGTTCTTCTGATTCGGGAGACGGCGATCTCGTCTTTGTAGCTTGGGCCTTTGCTGCTGTTTTTCCTTTGCCGCGCCTTTTCGGCTTTTCTGGGGCTGTTTCTGTCTTGATAGTCTTCCGAGTTGACGCGCGTCTTGGAGCTTTCGACGTTGTAGATCGGCTCGCGTTACGTTTTCGTTTGTCGGGCTGGGGTGGTGAAGAGGGTCGACGGCTTTCGGAGCAACCGGTCATATTCTCTACGCTGGTTGACTCTGTGGAAGGAGATGGGACGGGATAGCTGCGCATTGAAGTTGAAGGGGATGCCCAATGCGCCGAAGAGTCCTGATCGTAGGCGCACTGGACGTATTGTTGCTGGTGTTCTTGCGCGTAGGCATTTGGGGCGGCCAAGTTTGATGCTTCAGCGAAGGCGGCATTCTCAGGAGACCACCATTGCTCCCAAGGACCCTGGGGAAGCGCGCCGTGTAGATTCATGCCCGATTGGTCTTGGGCTATGAATTGCATTTTTGGGTCGTAGGGCTGGCTGCCATCATTACTGGGAGGATGGAGCTGTTGTTGGAAGGGATGGTAAACTGTACCCATCTTTGCTGTTTGGATGGTGCTGCTGTTAGATAGCTTGGTCGAGTCAGACCTTGAAGATTTGATCAAGTCAGGAACCGTAGTGGAGATAAATCATGCTCCTGGGAGTGAAGCTTGGACCCTGCAAATGGAGGCGAGATGTAAAAGCTTTAAATAAGAGACGCACAAAAGAATGGTGGAGGACCAGGTTCGGGGGACAATGCGGGAGCCAAGAGGGGGGCGATGGACAAACGGCGAGTGCCTAGCAGGCCTACATACAGTACCAATGTACTGTAGCCCTAAACCTGGCGTTTACCAAAGCCAGGACAGGGCAGGACAAGACAAGACAAGACATGAGAGGGGAACTGGACACCAAGCCCCAAGCCAACAAGTACGGAATGAGTTTAGCCCTGGGGATATGTAGATGCACGCAACTGGGGTCTGGAGTCAGGGATGTGAGGGGTCGATAAGTAAGAGTGGACTTTAAGCCAAAAGTGTCACTTTTTAGTGAAGAATCCGGCTTAGGCTATGCTTTAAAGCAATCCAGAGCATTACCGGCGGAGATAGCAGGGTATGTTATTGACAATTGGCTTGGGTACTTTTGGCCAAACATACTTACAAATGTGATACACCTAACCACGTTGAATGAAGCTCATATTAAAGGTCTCACGGCAGTTAAAGAATGGCATGGGGATCACCGAAGAAAAAGCTGCATCGGGCCTTGATGGAGGCGCTGTAGATACCAGTGCGTATCTCCACGAAAGCAAAACAGCCAAGGCCAACCAAACAACCCGTGAGACATTGGGGCAAACAAAGATCTCCCCAACGTCATGGGACGAGACGATTGCAGCAATACCCGGACCATATCTCTCTGAAGTTTCTCACAAACTACTAGACCCAGACGAGGCTAGCAGAGTGTGAGGAAGACTGTGGAATTTCAAGTCCCGGGGGTCATGATTGGATGAGACTTCTCGGTTTTGGGTCCGAATGTCATCATTGGTGGATAAGGCCCAGACAATCACAAGTATTTGGGCTTGACAGGGGCGTCACGCCAAAACAGTCCACGCATTGAGACAACAATTCATCCACGCTTTGTTGGTTATCGCGAGATGATAATAATAAGAGCGAAGAGAAGAACAAGAAGAGGAAAGAAAAGCAAAGAAAGATCAGCGCCATGTTGAGCTTTGCACTCTTTTCAGGGCTACTACGGCCCTGTCATTGCATGATAGATAGCCGCATGCCAACACTCGCTATCAAACACCAAACGGGCAGACGACATGCAGGTCTACAGTGTAAAAATGCACCGAAGGGACTTAAATGATGCATGAGTGCCTCCCGTAGCTTGCAAAATACGGATAACACTCCCCTCTGCAGATCCGTACATACATGGGTTGAAGAGTCTGACGTGGATGCAACAGCCCTCACCGGCCAAGCCCTCATTGGTCAACGTCCATCAACATCCAATCAGCGCTCACGGACGTGCGAGCCGTCTACTACGTACTATACGTACCTAACATGGCTTGAAAGGGACGAGATCAGGTCTTTTCTTCTTTTTTTAGTGGGGGCACTACATCTGCGAGATGTTGGCCTTTTGACATCACATTCTTTGCATTGTGTCGTATCTGTTATTCATTCCGAATTGACTTTTTCTCTTCTTTACCGAATGCTACTATTCATCTCATGAGTCCCCTTAGATATCGACAGATCGCGCAGATGCCATGACGATGAGTTTGCGTCGACTTTTGCAAGCCACGTTGGAAGATAGCAACGTGATGCTTTTGTTCAAGCTTGTTGCACTCCACGATGAATGGCTTCTTCGTCAGTGGCAGGAGTCTCATCACACCATTCAAGCATCTGCAGAGCAAACAGTAAATAAACTATGCACAGCCTGAGTGCGTGAGAACTTCAAGATTCCTCGACATACTGTAGAGAAAAATGTTCAAAGATCTGCAGGATGGATCCTTAGTCCTTGGAATGGGTGGGCCATCACCTTGTTTTGTTTGTCTTGGATGGCGGCAGCACATACCAGGGCTGCAGTGTACCTCCGCGGATAGTCACAAACATCCTCCAATGTGGGTGCACTGCATAAGATCCCTTGGTTTGATGGAGAGAACAACTTCTCTTTATCGAAGGTAACAAGTGATTTAAAAATGGGTTGGACGAGATCATATTATTTAGCCAGGGGACTTGGGAGGATCTTGCACTGTACTGCAATAGAGAATTGCCGACGGACTACCCCCGGTGGTTCTCAATGGTTGATAATGTTTCTGGAAAATGTCACCAAACCCGAGTTATTTATGAGCAGGGAGAAGAGATATCTCGCAAGCATGGCACGGACGCGTGTATCGAAGGGTTTGAAGAGTCAATATCGCCGTAAATCACGACTGCAATCGTCCAAAGGAAGGCCAAATTATCTTATTGGCCGTGATTCATTATACACGTACCTCGCCCTCCATCAGCCGCAATATTGAAAAGGTTTCTGGGCAGTACTGAACTGTTAACTCGGGATAAAGTACTGGTACTCGGTACCCATGCAGGCTTTACCATCAGTATCTTACTGCCCCCCATCCATCAGAAGCCGAGATTGACCGAGATCTTGGAGCAGTATAAAAAGATCGAGTCAGTTACCTGATGACGAAATCAGATGCCATAACGATTCTCAAGTATTGTACTGGCAGTTGAGATCGAGTCCATCATTTCCGTCTTGTGTTGATAAGGTTCAAAGAACATCATTCTGCCCAACTCCCGTTAGGCTCCGGGGAGCATTGCAATTGTCAGGTCCGTGCCGAGGCTTATCCTCCGATGCCAATAAATGCTCCCTTTGCTAGCCTGCCCATAGCCCTGGCTTTTTATTACAGTGGGAGGAAATAAAATGCCAGTCCCGTTTTCCGTAGCCAGTTTCTCCGGTGGTTCTTATTGGTTCTGGTATTTGTAAATCTGAGTGATGATTGTTGCGCGGTGATTCTTTTCGTCTTCCTCCAGAAGACAGTTGCACGCCAGCAGAATCCCTTTATATCGCGGTCACGATGATTCACTGCTGCAGCACAAGATGGAAGAGTCTCTTCTTTTGAGCACTTCTTTCAACATGTTCTCTTTTACTCTTCCACAACGCTCCCCGGCATAATGTACGAACCAGCTTCTTCAGCCCCTTTCGCCCGTGCCGCTCTCAACCCTCCCGTACGCTTCATACCACCATGCACAGCTCCAGCGGTTATCAAGCAAGAACCAGATGTTTCGGAATCAATACTGATAGGCAGCAACAGTCCTTCGCCCGAACCTCGATCCAGCGTCGAATCCCGCGATCGCCTCTTCTCATCCCTCGAACTCGGCGATCATATCCTTCGAAGTCCACGATCCATCACGACTCCTGACGATCTCGAAGACTCTGAACTGAAACGATGTTTCGATATACTCCACGCCTGCAGCCTTGCTACCGAGTTCAATGCGACGCTTTCGAAGACGAAGGACACAATGGAGGACTTCCTAACGGCCATCTTCAAGAACTGGACGGGAGACGCGGGTGAACCGGACAAGCCGGCCATGGACTTTGTGGTTCGCGAGTATATAAGCGCTGGGAACATTTGCAGTAAGAGACATGTCAATTGCGACGTCACTTGACCTGACATTAACCCTTCTAGGCCAACCCGCCAATCATCGAACCAGCTCCTCATGCGCCGAATCATCATCCTGCCGCACCCCAGTCTTTGGAATCGCCACATATCGAAGTCGACCAGCTCAACTCAGCATCAGTTTCTCCACCACAGAACCTGAGCAAGGTTCGAGCCAGGATGCGCAAGACTTCTTCTGCCCGATGGAACGCACTGATGTGAGATGGGAGGAGAACGATTGGATGACCGATCTACGACGGAGCATGAAGAGAACCTGTATCAACAAGGTGCATAGGTACAATAAACATCTTGCGATCTGGTACGTGAGATGTTTGGTGGGAGGCTGGGCGAAAGGAAGTATTTGGATGGGGAAGGACGTTGAGGTCTTTTCGTTTGTGGCGAAGGAGGCTGTTGATGCGGCGTTTGCTATGATGGGGGATACTTGATGGATCTTTGGGAGATGATGCACACTAAATTGAAAGACAATGGGCTTGGGCGCCGAGACAAAGGCATCGAAGACGATATGTTGCGCAAATACGGGAACAAAAGGTTACACGGCTAGGAGTTTTGCTGTTTGGGAGCTCACGGAGGACGATACCAAGATCAACAAGAAATGACTTTTCTTTTGACATTTTTCTACTTCAATCTACTTCTTGTAGGTGCTTCTTTATCGACCTCAAGCCATGTGGATGGTCATGTCCTTCATGGTCCTCATGGTCATCATCCTCTAGCCAATCTGGGAATCCGTCATCGAACAGATCCTCCAGCGCGTCACGCTTTTCCTCATCACTCTTCTTCTCATCTCTCATGACCGCTTCCCACTTCTTCAACTCGGCATCAGTGAGTAAACACTCATCCAGCATCTTCTCAACGGCCTTGTGATCCAGGTTTTCTCCGATAAACACCAGTTCTTGACGTCTATCTCCCCACTCTCCACCTTTCTTGATATCATGCTGCACAAGCCCATCAACCTCGGGATCACCGGTAGTGTACTCTTCTGCAGGAAGAGTGCAGAACCATGGACGTCCGCCGGTTAGAGTGAGCATAGCTCCAGCCTGGGACCAGTCTCCTGCGCGGTGGGGACGTGTTGCGAGGAAGAATTCACCCTTTGAGCGGAAGAGTCGTGCAAAGATGGGATGTTTGCGCTTGGTCTCGAGGATTACTTCGTTAGAAGGTGTGAAGAGATCATCTACGTCTTGCATTTCTGAGTCATCGAACTTTTGCTTCTTGGACGCAGGCTCGGGTGAAGGGGCAGATTCTAGGGTAGAATGGGAGCTTCGAGGTGATGATGCGGCTGAGCGCTTTCCCTGGGATGAAGAAGATTCGGAAGTATCCCGGTCGGCAACGGCAGCCTCGGCTGAGTCCTCAGCATCTGCGTAGCCCACCATCTCAAGGTCTTCATCGTCTTCTTCTTCC